CTAAGCCAATTTCACGTCTCTTGCTGCCAGTGGGAGGTGAGCCATGGAGCCCCGAGTGTGGGAGTATGCTAGCCTCAGACATTCAGGCTCCTCGAGAAGGAGAGATGGTGCTGGAGTCTCCCTCCAGGCAGCTTTCCAAAATGAGCATCCAGCCCGGCCAGCCTCATCTCTCCCCTGGACTCCTGCCATGCCTTCCTCCAGGGCACGCTCCGCTCAGAGGCAGCAGCAATCTTCTCAAGGCACACATCGGATCACACCGTTGCAGCGTGAATCCTTCAGTGGCTTCCTACTGCTATCAGAACAAAATCCAAACTTCTCAGCCTGGCCTGCAGGACCCTGAAGTTATCTGTCCTACTTGCTTCTCCAGCCCTCTACACTCACACTGTCCTGCAGCCACCCTGGCCTTCCTTCCGCTCTGCAAACATACCCAGCTCTCTCTTGTCTGGGTGGTGGTGCTGCCTTTGCCTCTGGTTCAGAGCCTTCCTTGCCCCAATATCTGCAGAGCTGCTCCTGTCCTCCTTCAGGTCTCAAGGTTAATGCCTGCCCCCAGCCCCCAGGAGACCTTTTCGAACCACTGTGGAATGGTTCCCTCTTTAGTCTGTAATTAAACCCTCTGTTTAGGTCCTTCAGGCCCTTATCATCTTATTTTCTTTCTTTTCTTTTTTCTTCTCTTCTCTTTCTTTTCTTTTCTTTCTTTTCTTGTCTGCCTCCCCAAATAGACTGTAAGCTTTATGGAGAAAGGGTGACATATTCAGGTTCTTATTTACGGTTGGCAACCCCAGTGCCTTTGCACTCTATGTGGCCCCTAGTAGGCCCTTGAACTGTTGTTAAATGAATATATGAATGGATGGATAAAGTGGAATTTGGGATTTTGGAGGAGTGGAAAAAGTGAAATTTTACAGGTCTAAGAAAACTGGATGAGGGTGTTGAGGGGGATGCTTTTGGCAAAGGATATACAAAGCCATCCTGGGCAGAAAATGTGCCAGATTTGAGAGAGAAGCTTGTGAAGTAATCACAGACACCAAGACCAAACAGTTAAGAGAAATTAAGATGCTTGGAGAATACTCATACCAAAATATGGAGTGCACAGCCTAGAAATAATCCCAGAGTTTCTGTCTTTATCATACATTTAAAGTTTTGGGGGAGAGGAGAGCTAGGGAAAGGCAGACCCACGAGGGAGAAAAACTGAACTGTCAGACTCAGAGCAATTAAGTCCATCAGAACGGAACAACCGCTAAGGAAGGTGAATTTCTTGGCTTATAAACCTTCACATTGCTCCTCTGTGCTTTGGATATGTAAATGTCTTTGCCAACTGGCAGCACCGGAGGAGGGAACAGCCTCCTTATCCACCCAAAGTCTTGCATCTACTCCACAATCTTATCACAGCACTCTGGGTGTAATTAACTTGAGCGATGACATGCCCTTGAGGAGGCTGTCAAAAGCTCTCTCCCCAAAGAGCTGTCAAGCCCTCTCTGGGGGATCAGAAACAGAGGGAAGTGGGAAGCCCATCACCTATATCACTAGCATGTAAGCTCCAGGGGGAGGGACTTTAATCTGTTGTAGGTTCCCACACATACTATCAGGCAAGGGCAAGCATGCAACAGCTACGTAATTAGTGTCTGGAAAGAGCTCCACACTGGGACTGAGGTTCCCCTTTCTCTCCTGGTCTCTGCCTGGTCTGTGACATCATGCAAGCTAACTTCTCTGGGTGCAATTTTACAACACACAAAGGTTGACCTGACCTCTATTTCCTCCTGTAGGAAACTCCACAGGCTCTGAAGTCCCTTCTAGCTTTAAAATTTGACATATCAATATATCTGTAAGTCATCTATGTATCAATGTATATTTGTTTGCAGCTCAGCTAACCCTAACTGATAACACGAGTGGACTATTTTTATGGTTGTCAGATAAAATACCAGACACCCACTTAAATCTGAACTTCAGATAAACAATAAATACTTTTTTAGTATAAGGAGTCCCGTGCAATATTTGAGACAGATATTTAGGACCTTGGCTAAATCTGACAATTTTAACTATTTGTCTTCTATCCTCCAGACTTTGTAAACTTTTGGAGAGACAGTAATAGATCTTACTCATCTTTGGAATCCCTTACAATTGTGTCTGCCAGATTTTTGGATTTCACAGATGAAACATGATTGGATTTTCTTTCAGGGGTAAACAGTTTTTAATTTTGGTAAATAAAAGTATTTATAACCATCATCGCTTTACTAAAGAAAACCAGGTAAACATGAAAAACTCTGACACAAACTCTCAAATCATTTTATATAATTATGCATAATCATGTAATTATATTAATCATTAAAAAATTTTTTACCTTTACAAAATACTCATTACATTGTCCTTGTGCGTGCATGTCTGTGCGCCGCGTGCGTATGTGCGTTTCTAAGGCAACCAGGCGACACTTCCAAGCAGCGTGGCACTGCCCAGCTGCCCTGTGTTTGGGAGCTTCAGTGGTGCGGTGTTTGCTAGAAGGCCTGGCACAACTTTTTGACTTTTTTGTTTTAGTTGCCCGGGAGGGTGAATTCAATTAGAGCTCAACTGCCTCAGCTATCCTCTCTTCTCCCTCCATCCCTTGGCTCATGTGCTCTCCTCCAGGCCTTAAAAACCTTTTAAGGAGTGAATTTTCACTCTAAGTTGCCTCAAGAACCTCAGAAGTATAGGGGAAAAAAATAAATAAATAAATAAAAGCCTTGCCTATCTCAAGGCCTCAACAGATGATGCTATTGGCAAAGCAGATGTGAGTATTAAGTGGGACCTGATTGTATTTCTTTCTGAAGACGATTTTTCTTTTTCTTTCTTTTTCTTTTTCCTGAATTCTTATTTTAAGTTCCCCTTCCTAGAATTTTAGAAAGTTAGAGCTAGAAAGGTAATTGCAACTTCTAGTCCCAATGCCAGACCTACCAAATTTGGGACTTTGAGGGGTAAGATCCATAAAATCTAGGATCCGAGTTCCACTGGTCCACATGCCCTCTTAGTAGGTATCAAAGGGCAATCTGTCGTTTTCCAGGAGAGGTGGCTGAGCACCACAGAGTGAAGTCACTGTTATATAAATAGGGGGCAGACACATGTGAAGAGCACAGCACTCAACTTTCTTAGCAAATTAATGGACTCTGTTGGGGAACAGGAAGGGCAGGGAAAGGTGTTCATTAATTTCTGTTCATCTGTACAGTAGAAAGTTCATGCTGGGTGTAGAGAAATGAAAGACCAAGAAGATTTACCTCGAGCAATAGCAACATCCATCTGGCATCTGTTCTGGGATTTCACGGTTCACTAAACACTTCTCTTGTCTTGCTTTGATCCCCAGCACAACAAGATTTAGCAAGGTGGTGGTGTTTTCTACCTTAACTTCGAAGAGGAGAAAATGGAGACACAGTCACTGTGCTTACTTGGCCATAAAAGAGGTAGAGTGAGATTGGCCCACTTTCTAGTACTTAATGTCACTCAAGTGGACTAAGACAGGCCAAAGTCTTTGTCAGTTAAAAATTTACATGTTTCAGGGCACCTGGGTGGCTCAGTTGGTTGAGCATCTGTCTTTGGCTTGGGTCCTGATCTCAGGGTCCTGGGATCGAGCCCCGCATCGGGCTCCCTGTTCGGAGGGGAGCCTGCTTCTCCCTCTCCCTCTCCCTCCGCAGCTGCCCCTGATTGTGCTCTCTCTCTGTGAAATAAACAATTAAAATCTTAAAAAAAATTTACATGCTTCAAAAATGATTTTGTGTTTCAAAAGTCACAAATTCTATATAAGTATTATAAGAAAATCCAAATCATTCAGAAAAATATAGATTAAAAAGAAGAGTGAGTTTTGATGTTTCCTTTCCAGACCTTTTTCTATGAGGTTACATGCATTTATAGTTAAGCCTGCCTTCTTTCCTTCCATCCTTCCTTCCTTCCTTCCATCCATCCATCCATCCTTTTTAATGGCTCAATCTATACACATTGCTGTGCTTTGTTTTTCTTAACATTATGTCTTGGCCATTTTTCCAAATTCTTTTTTTTTTTTTTAAAGATTTTATTCATTTATTTGAGACAGAGAGAATGAGAGACAGAGAGCATGAGAGGGAGGAGGGTCAGAGGGAGAAGCAGACTCCCTGCCGAGCAGGGAGCCCGATGCGGGACTCGATCCCGGGACTCCAGGATCATGACCTGAGCAGAAGGCAGTCGCTTAACCAACTGAGCCACGCAGGCGCCCCATTTTTCCAAATTCTTAAACAGAGATCTACCTCTTTGTTTTTAAGTGAGCCATGTTTGAAAACTGAATAGCAACATATGTGTACACTGATGATAAAGAAATATTGTATTTAACACCAATATGTAATAATTGACTTGATGGTGTGAGGAAAGGGGTACTGATGCTCAGAAATGGGGTAAACTGACTCTCATAATGTCAGTTTAGTAATTTTCCCTGAAGAGCAGGGACTTCAGAATCAGAATCACAAATAGCCTAACAAAGCCTTGAAAAAAGTTAGCAAAGTGCTGTCTTAGTTTTCCCGTCTATAAAATGGGATACGAATAACACATGTCCATAAGATTATCGTGAGGATTAAAAAAGAAAATTTACATGAAATGGTCAGCACAACAACCGATGAAGACGATGATGACGAGGCCAAATCTCCTAGTCCGGAAAGGTCAGGTCGGAGTTGGGACAACGGGTGGGGCTTAAATTGCGAGGTAATCAATACCTAGAACTGATGCTCCAGTTGATATTTTTTATTAAGAGTTACGACATCAGTGTCTGGGATATCCCTGGAGACAGGTGAGACCACGAGACTGCAGCTTTGGAAACCTCAACGTTCCAGGCTTTCGAGACGTGGTGTTTGGCCAAACCTTTGTGGGAACAAAGACTACAATTCCCAGGCTGCATCACTCCAGCCCCGCCCCGCCCCGCCCCGCTCACGTTGTTGCGTATCGCCTAATTCTCGCCAGGCTCCCGGCCGGAACTACAGATCCCGGAAGACCTTGCAGCACCGGTCCTGTCTCCCGGCTCATCACTCCCACTTTGTCAAGCGTAACTGCGACCGCGTTGCCCTTTGGGAAGCGTAGTTCTGCGGTGACTGGGCCCCTCCCCCTCCAGGCCCAGGCGCGGCAGTAAGGCGGGCGAGCTGGCGGAGGTGGAATACCGGTTTCTAATCGCCCACCCGGAAGGGTAACTTGGCGGGGAGGACTCTGGAGACGCTCCTGGGGTCGGGGTGGCCGCGAACGTGGCTCGAGCTCCACGCCTTTGGTGAGAAGGCGGACGAGACCAAATGCCAGCTTGAGAGAGGTAGTGGGCCAAGGGGACGGGGAATCCAAGTGGAGATAATAGGGGTGGGAGTGGGGCGTGGCGTGTAGTGCCTGGCCGGCCGGAGGCGCCCGCGCAGCATCCGCTGGAGGAGGGGTCCCGGCAAAGAGGCAGCGGGGAGTCTGGGTCGTGGGATGTCTTTAGGGTTTGGGGCTGATCAGTGAGACTTCTTCATCCCCTGGCCTCGCCTCCCCTGGCTCGTGGAGGCGGCGGACCCGGCCGTGGGCCTGGAGAGTTTGGGGGCGTAGGGGAGCCCTGGGTGGAAAGTTAGGAGTGTGTTACCCAGGGAGCCTGAGGGCTTCAGCTCTGCCCCGGGAACAAAGCCTTTCCCAAATCCTTCCGTACTGGTGGTTGGAGGAGGTGAGAGGTCTCTGGGGGTACCATGGAAACCCGTATGTTTTGGAGCTCTGCCCAAAGGGAGTCTTCAGCAACAAGGAAAGCTTTGAACCCTTTCAGTCTCAGCAGTGCTCCTGGAGTCATCCCCATGTCATCGTTGTGAACATTACGTGGCAGTGGGTTGGATGGAGGCTTAGTCTGAACCAAGCCAGAGAAATTGGGGTCCAGCTCCTTGATTCTAGAATATTGTAAAAGATTGTATTGTTCATAGAGAAATGTCCTGAATTGTAAATTAATTGAAAAAAATCAGGATACAAAACAATGTATATAATGAACCTTTTTTGTAATAAATACACGTATCTCCTAAATATGTGGCATGTATCTATGGATATGAATAGAAAAAAAAAAACAAAAAAAACTAAACTACTCTAAACCACCAGCAGTGCTTATTGATGGGTGGTGAGATTACAGATTAATTTTACTCTTTTCTGTACATCTTTTTGTAGCATCTGAGTTTGTACAATGAGCATGCATTACCTTTTTTTTTTTTTTTTTGCTTATTTTTCCAAAAAGTCACGGTTGCTCCACGGTGGTGCATTTTGGAAGGCAGGCACTAAGGTTCACTGCTTTGTGGCTTGCATCTGGCCACCTGCAGCTTGGTTTGCCAGGAATGATAACAGGATTGAATTAAAGGGGTGAATTTAACGTGCAGTCTATGTGAAGCTAATGTTTCTTCCCTTCTTCCAGTTTAGCAGGAGTCTGTTAACAAGTGTCACACCATGGTATGTGGCTGTTTTGGTCTATGTCAGCTTAATCCATTATTCTGGTTTGAAATGTCGTCTTATTATTTGATAGATTGGGATGCACTGCATAACTTCCTTGGGATCTGCTAACTCACATTGGCTGGGGATGAGAGGGAGAATAATACTGCAGCTAACATACCTTTTTAGTTTTGGATTCCATCTCACCTTGCTCTTTGCTTTTTTGTCAGGGTCTTTATTTCAGTATATGCTACTACTATCCCTGTGTGTGTGTTTAATTATAAAAGAAACCTTTAACATATCCCATGATTGTGCAAATTGTGCATTTCCTGGAGGAAAGCTTGTTAAAATCAAGGTAGGAGTATGAAAAATAAATATATTTAATGTTTATTTCAATATTGTTTTTTCTTCCTCAGCTTCTGCCAAGTTTCTGATTAAAGATTGACATCCCTGCATAAGCATTTCCCTGTTAAAATGTCCTTGCCTCTTACAGAGGAGCAGAGGAAAAAAATTGAAGAGAACCGGCAAAAGGCTCTGGCCCGTAGAGCTGAGAAATTATTAGCAGAACACCATCAGAGCGCAGGCTCTAGCTCCTCCATTATTGCCACCAACTCTTCCCAGTCCAAGCAGGGCCCTTCCCCAAACCTCCCCAGGGATCCTTCTAAGCCAGTGAACCATGGTGTTGTTTTCATGCAGCAGAATCTCAATAGTTCATCTAATGGTGACCAAAGACCTCCTAATTCCCACAGTTTTCATCTAAGCGCTCCAGAGCAGGCAAAGGGGATCTGGAAGAGGCGAGAAGATGTGCCCACAGCCTGCCCAGGCCACAGCCCATTAGGTCAAATGACTCTCACTGGCATCTCTCCTCCCTTGGCACAAAGTCCTCCAGAGGTCCCCAACCAACAGCTGTTGGGTGGTATGTTAGGTCAACATCATCCTCAGGCTTCACACGAGATCAGATCCACACTCTTCGCTAACAGAACTCATGAGCCTTTGGCCAAAGCCAAGAGTCTCCAGAAGTCACCAGCTTCTTTCTTTGGACAGCCACCCAGGGATCCTGGAGTAGAGGCCAAGGCAGTGAGGCCCTCCACCTCGGGGCAGGACATTTCTGACACAAACTGTGGCTCAGGGATCGTGGCACCTGGGACAGAAGGAAGATGCCCACAGAAATTGGGGGTCTCACTCCAAAAAGCAGGAAGCTCCCAGAAGGGAACGTGCATAAGGAGTGGGGATCGTTTCCAGGTGAAGATCGGCTACAATGCAGAGCTCATTGCGGTTTTTAAGCGTCTACCCAGCAGAAGTTACGGTAATGAGGCTTCGGTCTTGTGCTTCACATGTTTTTTTTTTTTTTCCTATTTTTAAAGTCTCTTTTAATCTAACAGTTTCTCATAAATATGAAGAGAGTGCATTGGCACATTCTGTCTGTCCAGTTGTTGAAATTTTCTGTTTTAGCTCATGTTTCCTTTTGTAATAGACAAATGTTCCTTCCAACAGCTGCCAAACTTGGGGGCTGCCACGTGGCCATATGGAGAATGGATGAATATTTACTGAGAGGCCAGTTCCCCTGCAGGGTGCTTTGTTTGTGTTGTAGCACTAAAGTGTAACAACAGCTTTTTGAGATAAGTAATGTTATTTCCATTTTAAAGGCAATAGGACTGGCTCAGTAAGGTGAAGTAAGATGCTCTTGTTTCCTCTGGAAGGGCAGAGCCAGGATGTGCTAGCTCAGCATCAGCCCAGAGGGCCTGCTCCTCATTCTGTTTGCCTGACTATACTTGGATTCTAGTCCCATGTCTGTCCTCAGCCCTCTTAGGCGAAGCCATAACATTCCAAGGCCTGATGAGTTCTGCTATATGGAGTAAAAGCACTGTCCTCATTTGTATTTGCTGTTTGTCCCCCCCAGGGATTTTGTACATCCATAGGGGCTCTCATTCGACTGTTTTTCAAACCGAGCACTCATTCATTCATTAAACAAGCTTTTACTGAATGTCTCAGTACGACTCAGAACGACAGTCATCAGTCTCGTTATGGGCAAACCAAGTACTTCTGTTTCATTTCAGATCCTGCCACCAAGACGTGGAACTTCAGCATGACCGACTACGGTGCCCTAAGTAAGTAGGCATGTCATTGCCCTGCATGCAGGGAAGTCCTGGTATTGAGAAGCTCCTAGAGCAGCAGGTGGGGTCTAGCTTATAGTTTAGATGGCATTTAGGGCGCTACCCCAGTGTCCTTCTCCCTTCTCACTCATGGCCAGCCCATTGAGGCAACTCCTTGGATGAAGGTCACTATATTAACAAAAGCTAGCACTTACTGGATCCACTCTGCCGGGTTGTTCTAAGCCCCTTATACAGGCATACCTCGGAGATATTGCAAGTTTAGTTCCAGACCATGGCAACAAAGCAGATAGCACAATAAAGTGACTTGGATGACTTTTTTGGTTACCCAGTGCATATAAAAGTTATGTTTACACTATATTGGAGTCTGTTAAGTGCGCAATGGCATTATGCCTGAAAAAACAATGTACAAACCTTAATTTAGAAATACTTGATTGCTGAAACATTACAACCATCACCTGAGCTTTTGGCAAGTTGTAATCACCGATCACAGATCACCAAAACAAATGTAATAATAACGAAAGAGTTGGGAATATCACAAGAATTACTAAAATGTGACACAGAGACAGGAAGTGAGCAAGTGCTTTTAGGTAAATGGCACCACTAGACTTGGTCTGTGCGGGGTTGCCACAGACCTTCACCTTGTAAAAACAACTCCATGTCTGCGAAGTACAGTATAGCGAAGAGCAGTAAAATGAGGTTTGCCTGCATATGCGAACTCTTCCACTTCTCACAACAACCGTTTTTACAGATGGGAAAACTGAGGCCCAGGGAGGATAAGTAACTAAAACTGGGTTGCACAGCCAATGAGTTGTATGCCCGGGATTCAGACCCAGACAGCCTGACTTCAGAGCCCAAGTTCCCACGGGGCTGCTGGTTCCAGCCATGACAGGCAGCTGGGCTGCCCTGACAGGAACGGCTCTGCTGACAGCCGTGTCCTCACAGTGCTCCATGCGTTCAGTTCCCTTGAGGGTGCAGGGCGAAGATGTTGCCCCATCAGGCTCCAGTGGACCCCATTAACCCAGTGTGGTCCGTTGTCAGAGCCCTCGAGGGCACCCCTCTGCTTCTCAGATTTTGTTGACTCTTACACAAAGGTTTTCGTCACCTCTTGGTGCCCGGAGCCTCTACCTCTGCCAGCACGTCAGCCCTGGATGTTCTGGCCGCCCGTTTTTCCTCCTCTCTTCCCAGAGCCATTTCGATGCTCTCTTTCCCCACCCAGTTCAAAAAGGGGAAAGGCGAAGATGCATTACGAGGAGGTCACTTTGCAGGTGTGGGGCCTGGGGTAGAATTCTCTGGACTCACCAGCACGGATGGGACAGCCCGCTGCACAATCTCCCCTGTCTTTCCTTGGCATCCACCTCTTCAAATGTGTGGCATTGGGTGGTTCTTTGGTAGTGGCTGGTGACCTTTTGCGGGGGCTGGGGGGGGGGCGCTCACTTTTACTGTTATTTTAATCCCTGTGTTAGGGGTTTAGGGAGGGGGAGAGCCCGTACTCTGGGTTAAGGACTGCGGGTTTCAACACCTGGGTTTCTCATTTCTGCTCATTTTAAACCAGTGATTTCCACGACCGTGGTATTGTTTGTATTACCGTCTTCTTCCTCCCGTGCTCACAATGCATGGTGACTTGGATAACTTCTGCTTTTGCAGATTGGTTTTGGTTTTCTTTGTGGGATGGTTGCTTTTGGTAATGCCCCACATCTTTTTTAAAAACTGGTTATTGGGCACAAAATTCTCTATATAGCTTTTGGATGAATTTTACTGATTACGAATTACTTAGCTCATCTTTGTCTTTACCAGCATTTCATACACTTGACTTGCTGTTTACTGAGATGTCCCCTGAACACTTGTGCAATCATTGTGGAGTTGTGCATTTATCCTTGTTCTTTTTTCCCCTTGTTGCAGTACAATTGACACACAGTGTTACATTTGTTGCAGGTGTACAACATGGGGATTGGACAACACAATGTTAGGTTGTGCTCTTAATTTTCAGAGTTTTTATGATGTGCCTTCCTAGTAGGTTATCCTTTTTATCACTGTAACGTGTAAAGACTGTCAGTCTGTCATTTTGCTTTAGGCATACCTGTGGATTTTGCCTTTTTAACCTCCCACACATACATTGTAGAACATGTGGAAAGTATATCGTCGTGTAAAGATAACAGCTGTTCCCCTGTAATCTCCTTAGTTAACCACTATTAACATTTGATTTTGCTCCTTCCAGCCTTTTTTCTGTGCGTTAAAATATACACATTTGGGGCGCCTGGGTGGCTCAGTCGTTAGGCGTCTGCCTTTGGCTCAGGTCATGGTCTCAGGGTCCTGGGATCGAGCCCCACATCGGGCTCCCTGCTCCGCAGGAAGCCTGCTTCCCCCTCTCCCACTCCCCCTGCTTGTGTTCCCTCTCTCGCTGTGTCTCTCTCTGTCAAATAAATCAAATCTTAAAAAAAAAAATACACATTTTATCTACATAATAGGATTTTTATCTTGCTTTTTTTACTTAGTGTTCCAGCAGAAGTATTTTTATTGTAATGGTGAACGTTAGCCACTAATTCTGAGCAATGACAATACAGGATTCCTTGTTGGACACTTCAAGCCCTAAGAAAAGGATTTCATGCTGTCGAACTTAATACTGGTTTTTGTATTTTTGTCTTTTCCAAAACTTCTCCCTAAAAAAAAATGAAATGGCTGTATAACGTTCCACGGTATAAATGTGTCATAAATTTTTTTTGTTTTTGTTTTACTTGTCTGCTCCCAGTTCGCCCAGGATTAAAGCTGTAGGAATACCTTCCTCCATAACTCTGTATTTTCGGTTGTTGGTTTGGGCAGATTCCTGGAAGTGGAATCATGATCACTGTTTAGGACTCTTGTTCTAGATTGCCAAATTATTCTTCAAAAGGTTTATTCCCAGCGAGCAATGCAAGACACCTGGTTGGTTTTTTTTTTTTAATCTTGCAAATTTGATGAGTAAAAATGGCTTTTTATTTCTCTGATTATTTGTGAAGTTGAACATTTTTCCAGAAGTTTGTTACATTCTCTCCCCCCCCCCCCCCCCGCCAAGTTCATGACATCTCTGTCTTCTTACATTTTGTGGTCTTAGTATTTTCTCAAGTGCCAGCTCTACTCTGATTTCTTGCAAAAATCTTTATTTGGTAGTTTTGCCTTTCAATTCCGTTTGGGTTTTTTGGGTTTTTTTTTTGACAGTTTAGTTTTATGTAGTCAAATCTGCTAATCTCTACAGTGCATCCGTAACACATAAAATCAGGCTCAAAACTGCATTTGTGGGCTGACAGTTCTGTCTCTTTCCCTGGCTCTCCAAGTAGGAGCAGCTGGGGCCTGGGGATCGGGTTAGGGGGCAATTCCTGGGCCGTTGGCTTCAGTGGCTGAAACAGCAGCAGCAATTATCCATTAAGTTCTCACATCTTGGTGAGACCCCTCCTTCCCCTGTTCGTTTCTGAGTTGCAGGTTTTGTAACTTGAACACTTAAGCAGCAGAAGTTATATTCAGTGAAGACTGGACTTCCCCATGCCCCAGTGAAAGCGCACTTGCAAGCCGTCCTGATCTAACCATGCTTCTTCCCTCCCCGTGTGGAAGTCAGCCACCTTATCACATCTCTCCTTTTCTTCCGCAGTGAAAGCAGCCCAGAGCCTCCCCACGGTCACCCTGCAGCCCTTGGAAGGGGCGGAGGACAGCAGGGGGTCACCCTCCACCGCTGGCGTGGCCCAGACCTGCCTGCCTTCAGCTCCCTCCCTGGCCTTTGTCAAAGGGCAATGTGTGCTCATCTCCCGGGTCCGCTTCGAGGCAGACATCGGCTACTCCGAAGACCTGATTGCACTGTTCAAGCAGATGGAGTCCAGAAATTACGGCAAGTAATTGGCTCTTGCCTGATTCCTGGGATGCAGAGTGGTCTGTGATCTCCGAGCAGGTTATTTTCTTCTCTGTTTGAATGTTCAGAAATGATTTGTGTTCTTAGGAGAGCTTGAAACACAGACATATGCCATAAAAGTAAATGCCCTTGGGTAGACTGAGTCCATGGTTGTCATACTGGAGCATGCATCCAAACTGCCTGGAGGGCTTGTTAAAGCAGATTGCCAAGCCCCACTCCCAGAGTGATCCCTGATGCCTGGTGCCCACCCAGAGATGCTGATTTAATTCGTTGGAGGTGGCCAGAATTGGAAACCACTGGCCCAAGCAGAGCAGTTCTGCTTTATTTTTTGTGAGGCTCTTCAGAAGGTGCCCTATCAGAATCAGGCGCAGAAGTTGTATTAGAATTTGGAACTGCTGGGTTTCATTCTCAGCCTGGGCCATGTCGCTTTACAAAACCACGTGGCTTTTATGGATCGCTATTCTTCCATCCTTGAAATGGTTTTAGTCTTTTCCTTAGGTAAGTAGGAAGCAGACCTGTAACACCTCATGTTTCTGAGACCTCATGCTCAGGCGATGTCATGGAGGTAGCCTCTCCAGAAATATTTGCTCCGTGAGCTTTCCTCAGGGTTTGGGGCTCCTTCAGGAGGAGGATGATGCCGGCTATAACATTTGTATTCCTTGGATAGAGTTTTAACTCACAAGGGCAGCCTGCTGGTAGGACTTAAGGGAGACTGGCCGGGCCTGGCCTGAGTCGTGAGATGGGCCAGATGCACGAGAGCCAGTGTTCTTGGCCTCCTCTGCTCCCTTGGATTTTCAGCTTCACTGTGGGGTCACCCTTACAGGCCAGTGCACATGGCCTGTGTGCATTCCGCCAAGTGGGAGAATACCTCACCCCTGACGTGACCTGTCAGGTTATACCTGGGCTACCTTGCTTTTTAAACCCTGGACACCTACTCACTGTGTTTATGCCGCTCATTCCCTCAACACCTGGCTTTCTCCGTGATGATGCAGAGAAGACTTAATGTCTGCTGTCCAGAAGGCATTTATCTAGCGGAAGCTGTCGTGATTTTCTCAGAAGTAGATTGATAGGGAAACTCTAAGAACTTAGCTGGTGTTGGGTACTGCGATGCTCGCCCTTCTTGGTCGGTATTGCATGTGGTGTGGGCTGCACTGTACTAATCAGCAGATGGTGTCTGATATAATTGCCAGCTTTGTTTTGAGCGCTCATTGTTTGCCAGACACATGTTCATAAGCATTTTATTTTTTATTTATTTATTTGGGGGAGGAGGAGGTGAGGGAGAGAGAGAATCTTAACTGACTGAGCTACCCAGGTGCCCCATTGTACATTTTGGGGCAGGGGCTGCAGTGTCCTGATTTTTCAGGTGTGGGCACTGAGGCACAAAGAAGTTACATAATTTGCCCAAGGATACACAGGAGGTGGCAGAACCGGGATTTGAATGTAGGCTATTTGACCACTCTGACTACATGCAGCTTGTTTCCCGTGTGTGAAAGAGAGCTAATAATAGTGCCCGGCTCTTAGGGTCGTGAGGAACAGAGGAATGGCGCATGTGAGTCTCTTGGCACCATGCCTGGCTTCAAGTAAGCACTGATTAAATGTAAGCTGCCATTATTCCTGCTGTCTTGGAAATGGAGGGCATTTCTGACCTTCCGGGCCATCCCTGGTCACGGATGCCCATAGGTCCCCATAGGACCCTTCGTCACCCCCTTAACAGCATGGTATCGTTGCTGTCTCTGGTTGTCTTTTCTCCCTGAATTCTCTGACAGCCTCGAGGGCAGGTACCCTCCGTTTCTGTATCCCCAGTGCCAGGTCCAGGCCCAGCCACAGTGTCCTAGCTTACTGGAGATTTCTGGAACCAGGGAATGAATGAGTAATGTAGTCACCCAGCAGGAGGGTGCAGGGTGTCACGCTTGCTTGTTTGTTTCTTGTCATTGCAGATGTCAAGACCAGGAAGTGGAACTTTCTCTTGGAAGAACACAATAAACTAAGTGAGATGCCTACCTTGCTTGTTTTATATCATGCTAGTGTTAAGCTTTCATTATTATCTGTCTTAAATTTAACATATTTTAGAGGAAGACGACTTCCCCACGGCCCCCGACTCCCCGCATGTGGTAATTTTACATACTCGTGCACAGGACAAGTGAGGGCGAAGATGTTCCCAGGCAGCTGAGATGGTGGCTTTCCAGCCGCCCAGCAGACGCAGGGCCCCCTCTTCCATCAGAGTATGGCGGTGCTCGTCAAATTCCTAAGGCCCGTGAGGGAAGTGTTAGATGGGGACTTTGGGCATCGGACGTGAACTAGGTCTGCTTAGCGTAGATGGGAGCCACTGTAGATTCCCTCTAAGAACAGGCTCTCGGTTTACTTCTAGAACCAGATGATCAGTGAGAGTCAGAGGGTCTGAGTGGTTACGGGCTTCGTAATAGGCCTGGATGCACACTCACTTAATAAGCATTTTGGAGACTGACCAAGGGAAGGGATGTGTATGGGTGTAAGAATAGGAAGGAGAAGCCTGTTCGGGCTCACCATTCGTCTCTGTGCTCTGCATGGGCGGGGCACTAAATTCTAGTGTGCCTGAGAACGGGGGACGTGGGCATGGCTCAGCCTGTCCTGGTACGCCCATCTGTCACCCATCTACCCAGCTGTCACCCGCCTGCAGTGGGTCTGCAGCTGGTACAACTTCAGTTCCTCCTGCTTGGCCCCCTGAGGATGTATTGGGCCTCGCAGCCAGTCTGGTCCCAGTCAGGCCAGGAGAGACAAGCTCCATCCGAGGAGCTCCGAGTCGTTGCCCATCTTGCCCAGCAGGCCAGGGCTGTCAGCAAGACGGAAGAGCTGGGTTTCTTCCTTCAGTCTTCTCCTCGTATGACTTAGGAGGTGACATCGGGCAGGGGTGATCCAACATTCTGGGTCCCCCCGTCCTTTCAGTGAAAGAAGGGGTTTTCAATCCATATCTGCCCTACTCCCTGAAATTCAGTGTAAGGGAAGTGCCTTTGATTCCTTGCAGAGAGACTTGCTGCAAACTCAAGGTTAAGTTCGAATGTGATGAGATCCTTATTTAGTATCAGCAAACGCCTGATGAGCTGAGACCCCGTGGCCGCTGCTGTTTGGAACTTGTGATTCACAGCGAACTATTTGGCCAGAGCTGAATTACTGATGAGCAATGGGAGCGTTTCCTTCTTGCCCCCTTGTTTTTCAACTACAGAAAGATACATAAAAATGTTAGCCATAAAGACTGACTTTTGTGGACCAACATGTGAAGCAGGGTCTGGACAGAGCAGAGGAATGTAACAAAAAACCGTGACTTGCGACTCACGTGACATTATATAATGGGTCCAAATCTTGTGTAGGCCATACACTTTGAAATGTCTGAGGAAAATGACGGATTCTTCACCCAGAAAAATGCACAATAATGGCCACATGTAAAATTTTGCATTTGATATTAAGAACTCCATGGATCTGGAGTTAAGAATTTTAGAGTTAGGAATCAGATTGCTGTTTTAAGTGCTGGCTTGTCAATACAGCGTCTTATGGAAGGGAAGACAGATTCTCCCCACTTCGTAGATAGTGAAAAGCTTGAACCCAGAGAAAGGAACCCGTTGTTTTCCCTTCCCGGAGCATTACAGGGTCACAATAAAGTCCGTGATGGAGATCAGGCCACACAGGTGATCTTGCCTTTGTAACGTGACCCATTTGGAAGCATAGAAACCAGACTCGTGATGAACAAGAAGCTGAGGAGATGATTCCATTGTTCACCAACTGTAAGCCCGGGGACCCCACACCTCTCCCCACATCCCAGGTCTTGTTCCTCGTGTGCGAAGCTAGCTTACTGACCCTGAACTAGTGAACGTGTGCATACGAAACTCATTAAGAAATGACAATAAGACCTTCTGAGTATATGAATGCTCACTGATGACGTGGTGACGATTATTTTCTCCAGATAAGGGGGATCTGAGAGCTTCCCTCTCCCTCTTTTCTCAGTGACTTGAGGCCTTTTGCCCACAGTGAAATTGGCATAAGGCCTTTTGTTTTCCCCAGGCTGTCACAGTCCAGAAGGGTTCTGCATCCCCCTCACTGATCTTGTCTTGTCAGCTGCTATTTGAAAACATTAACATCTCTCTGCTGTGTAGCTCACTAGCATTCTGCCAAAGAGCTATTTTACAGAAACGATTTCTAGATGACTCATGAAGCCAGACAGCACACTCCTGTCATCTTCCAGCCCCTGGAAAGGACATCTGCGAACTGGGGGGCTTTCTCAGAAACATAGCCCCTTGGCTGAACTAGCAGCACAGGATTATGGAGGTAGTAGTTCAGTGGGGGACAGAGTGGAGGTTGCTTTTTCCTCTTGAACGGCTGGAAGAACATAATGCTTACAAAGCACCACATTTCACACCAGCCAGATCATCAGGCCTTTTCTTAGCTTCCATCAGGTATTCGAGTGCTGGCGATGACCAGGATTAAAATGAAAATGGTTTCTGAAAGCGCATGGGGTGCTCAGTCTCCTGAAGTGTGCAGAAATCAGCATGTTCAGATTTAATTTGGAGGCATAAAATGTATTTCTCCATCAATATGGGAAGTCTCTTTTATATTAAAGCCGCCAACCTTACCTAATTTCATACCATGGTGATTCTGTTCACACAAGGCGTTTCCAGAAATAACTGGTATATACATTTAGTGAAAAATGGAAATGGATTTAAATATATTGAGAACACAAAGCGACTTAAGGTAGCAGTAGATGGCTCAGTCCTCCATATTCAGATCAGTATTTGCAATGGTAGCCAATTGATGGTGTGGCAATGAACTTGGAATGCTTGTGAGGATATTAGGAAAACACATGACTGTATGGAATACAGAACCAACAACTTTAGAATTTCAAATAATATTGGGGAGAAATGAAATATACCCAGTTTTTTATTTGGGTCCTTCTACCAGGTTCCTGAAAACAGCCCCTTGGAGGGTTACAGTGACACCTGGGGTGTCCATGCAAGGTAAAGGATAAAGAGCAGTCGAAGATCTGCAAACAGTAGTTACTCTTCCAGTTAGGTTTTTCAAAGGACATCTACAACCCATAGGATAGCGGGCTGTGATTAGTAGCTGGATGATAATTCTACCACCAGGGTTGTCTGGGCCTATCGTCTTTAATTTTTAACTTGTCTCTCTCCTACCCCCAGAATTATCTGTTTTATTTGTATCTCTGGTTTATTCTTTTTCTGTTTCTCTACTAAATAAAGGGGCTTTTTTTTTTCCTCCCTTCTTAATTTTAAAGTCAGGTGAGGCTAAATTCCTTCAAAAAGCAAAAATCATTGAAATTAATTTGCTTTCATTTCATGTAGATCCCAAGTAGTTTTTCCCACTTGAGATAATGGGTCTGACTGGAAGGGGAGATTTCCCCATCCATTATATAAGGGGATCTGGAACCTGGAAGGAAAGTAAAGACCCCTAAATACAAGCTTTAATTGGAAGAGTCAGAGCAGTGGTCACTCTTGGTAATAGTTTAGACTCTGAGCATAGCAGGAGTGGGTAAATTATTTTTGTAATGGGCTGGATAATAGAGACTTTAGGCTTTGTGGGCTGTGTGGTCTCCCGCCAGCTTCATTCTGCCATTGTGGCAAGCCCACAGCCGTGGGTAGTCCATAAGCAAGTCGTCATGGCTGTGTTCCGTCATACTTTCTTTACAAAAGCAGGCAGTAGGCCGGTTTAGCTTGCCAGCACCTGCTTTCGAGCCTAGGTGGGGTGCCGTCCGGTCGCTTCCAGACCAAGGGACTTCCCACCCACTTCACCGCGGACATCCCGCTCAAACTCCCCTCTCCCACGGGGAGATCAGTGTTCTCTTAGGGGAAGGCCACAAGGGCGCAGGGCCACTTGTATTTTTATCACTTGGTGGCCTTAGCACGGGCTCTGCCCTTTGTCATTGCTATTGTTGTTTGTAAATAGCCCTCCTGTCCTCCTGATCTTCCTTGGAAACACCTAACCGCTGCTCTGAATGGAGCACAGCGCTTCCTTGCCTGTCAGCAGCAGGTAATGTAGAGTTCTCGACTTCTCGAACATCAAAACCCAAAGAAAAAGAGAATGGAAGCATGACAAGATTTATTCATTCTGCATTTTGCTTTTTTTACGGGTCTTTCAGGACTGGTTTTTAAGAATATGAGTCCTTATTTGAATGCGAATACTAAGATAATTTTTTTTAAGTTACTTTAGGTTAAAAAAGAATCAGTCACAGAAACATCTGCAATTCTTCCCAGGGTCCGTGTAGTGTAGAAAATAAATTTGGCATTTGTGATTGCCCTCTTATTTGCAGAAACCAGGAGTAGAGAGGGAGCGTTAGCTCTCTAGGTTTATGTACTTGCTCAGGATACGATTGTCAGCCCTCGTTTTCTCTCCAGTTACGTTTTGAGAAGGTGGCACACAGCAGAATTCCAGTCACTGAGCTCTGTATTTCAAGCCCCTTTGCTGTCCTTAGCTCTCATGAGCATTTCCCTCCAAGTCATACACCTCTGTCCTCCTTTCTAGTCCAGAGCGTGGGCTGCCTTCCGCAAGTTCAGCTGGATCCTCTGCCCAAGACACTCACCCTGGCATTCGCGTCACAGCTAGAGAAGACGTCTCCCTGTCTCACAGAACCCATCCCCGAGGCAGACCTTTCTGGAGTGGACCCCAAGCTTGTGTCCAATCTGCTGCCCTTCCAGAGAGCCGGAGTCAAGTAGGTTCTTGGGTCTTCCTCTCGTCTGGGCTTCATGACTCATACAAACTGGGTTCAGATGCTCTCTTTTAAGAACACTCATCTTTCATGGACATCTAGGAGCATCTAGGCATTACAAGGCCAGGTGTGCTGTAGGCAAAGCCTGATTATAACCATTGATTTCAAATTCCATGAGTTAATCAGGACTGTGGATCCAGGTGTGCAGAAACCCAACTCAGACTGGTTCAAGAAAACAGATTTCTCAGTGTAGGTAGTAGAAAACCAAGGTCTCCAAAGATCTCATCAGAACTCTGTCCCACCCTCAGCTCGGCTTTCTCCTCAGTTTGCTTTGTTCTCAGCCAGGTGCTCCTCAGGTGTGGTGGCTAGAGCTCAGCAACCCAGCTTAAGCACCTCTTTCCTGGTGGGCCCAACACTGATGGGCGTGGAATCAGGCCTGGTGGGCCTGAAATCTGGTGCTGATGCCAGAACCAGTCGCTGTGGCCTGGGGGCTGGGGAATCTTATTGGTGAGACTGGATGACAGGCGCATCCGGAGCCAGCTGGTAGCTCCCCCGGTCCCTGAGTTATTTGGACTGAGAGTGGAAGGTGGTGGTTTTCCAAAAGAAAGTCAGGGTATTCTTACTATAGACCAAAAAGAAGATGAGCCCACATCATGACCTGTCCTGTTTTCCAGAGCTTCTTGGGAGAAGCCAAATGACAGGTTTGAACTTGCCTTCTAGTGAAAATACTAGAGGTCAAGGAGAGGAAAGAGATGGTAAGAGCTTCATCTGTCATTCGACGGTGTGGCTGGGGATATAGCCCTGGATAAGGGAAGAAAGTAAATCATCATGGACCTGGTGAATGAAGACAGTCTGCCCACAGGCAGCCTCCTCGTGAGGTTTTGGTAAAAGCTTGGCCACCTTCTTGGACAGGATTTTGTTCTTCGATTTGGGCATTCCCCAAATCCCCAAATTCCCTCCCTGCATTCCCATGGTCCCAGCTCTGCTCACACCCTTTCCCTCGTTTTCTCTCCCAGTTCCATCTCTCTCAGATAACACGCTTTGCACAACTTCATCTTGCTTGAGAGGTTACCCACCCCCACCCCCAGGCAGCCTCTGTCTTTGGTGCCCAAGCTCCCCTGGGCGCCATTAGAGATCCTGGGCCCGTGGATATGTGCTACCTTGCCAGTTAGGCTGTCCTATCGAATGGCTCTGTGTGGAGGCCCCCCAGGCCTGATGGGAGCCAGAACCAGAGCCCGGTCAGCAGCTTCCATCTTTTTCCCTGTGGTTCTGAAACCACTAATGGTACTTACAGCCTTTCTTCAAAACTGTGTAGTTAAATCCAGATTTTAACTTTTCATTCTCTGAAGAGGAGGATTTTGGTGTTGAGGCAAAAGGGCTGGCAGTTCCATGTTGGTTTTGTAAGACCCACAAGGAAAACACCCTTAAATTTATGGAGCAAAGTCTCTTAGGTATATATCAGGTTCCTCTAACATCTGAAAGTTTCCTTTTAATGGATGAGTGAGGTGAGACCCAGCATGACAGTCATCTGCCCAAAGTCACTCAGCTTCCAAGAGTGGGAATTGGAGCTGAAATCCATGTTTTGTGATGATGAGCGCAGCACTTGTGTTCTATCGACTGCCCTGTCGAAAATGGCATCCAGCTGTGTGCTTGTTTCTCTGTTAGGCATTTCCTTTGTTCTCATTTTTGGCCACTTTGTTCCTTAGTTGGGCTACTTCAAGGCAGGGGAAAAAGGAAAGACCACGAATTTCAAGGGTCTCTTCTGCTTTGAGAATGACCGGATGGACAAACCATAGGGACGTTGCAAATGGCCGAAGCAGAGGGTCCTCCATGGTCTGTTGCTTAGGTGCCCCCATCCGCCCTGGCTATCAGTTTTGTAAACTAAAAATGAGATGGAAAATGGATCTTTTTCACACTTGCCTCCCCCATCCATCTGTGTGGAGGGTTGATCCTGGAAATAGTCTAGAAGATTTAACCGGGGCAGATGTGCCGAGAAGAGGCTGAGCCTGTCGGAGAGGTGAGGTGGCACCGCGCCGGGCTCCCTTCCTTGCCACAGAAGGCACATGGTGGTCACGGCCCCGGGGGTGCAGAGGGGGTGCTGCCTCCCCTGGTGGGCCGCCGTGGCCGCTGGGGGGACAGAGCAGTGCTGTGACATGACGCATGTCGTCCGCCGAGCCCAGGCGAGCCGGCTCCTACCACCCGCAGACGCACTGCTCACTCTGCCGCCTTTGCTGAGTGCTGGCTTTCGAAGGACAGGCAGCTCAGAGAGGCCCCCCGCAGCCTGCAACTTCTGTCCGCCGTACCCCGTGCTGATCAGAGGGGGCTACACTCGCTGCCTTGGCTGTGTGAGAAGGGAAGAAAAAGAGCTCATCCACAGGCTTATTCTCAGGCTTCGGAGCAAATGATCAGTTTTTCAGGAATTGAGATGAAAGAGGGCCGGTGTTTGGAGCAGGAGACCAGACATCTGGCACTTGGAATCCTCTTCGCTTTTCACTGATTTATTTGTGAGGCAAGCAAGTCCTTCTTAGCGTTCATCTTGATCATTTTTCTCTTTTTTGTGGAATAGTGGTTAGAAGAGAAACACTTGGCCAGCACGTACGTGGTGCCAGGCACTGCAGTCAGTGCCCTAAACATTAGCTCTGTTAAACCCTGATGAGGGTCTCTGGGGCGGTTCCTTTTGTTCCCTTGTCACGGCTGAGGCACGGGGAGGTGAGATAACTTGCAGGGAAGGTACCCCGCTGCGAAGCGGTGGAACTGGGGTGGCCTGCAGGCCAGTCGGGCTGCCGGAGAGTGGAAGAGCGTGCCCTTCTTCACAAAATGTCAGCAGGAGTTGTAGCGCTGGAGGGCTGAGGGGTCCTGGCGGCTGCTGGTGGAGGAGACGCTGCTGAGGCTGGTGCTCCCCGGTAGACAGACAGACACCTTGGCGCTGTCCTCCCTTGGGCTGTGCTCTTCTGCAGTGTCCTCTGTCTTTGCCGCTCCTTCCCTTTGCCCCTGTGCATAAACGTCCTCTCTGACCTTGAGAAAGCCTGATATTGATGCCACCATCTCTTCCTTCTTCCCTTCCCTTCCCTTCTAGGCAGACGTCTCACGTGAACAAGACTGCCCCTTCTGGCCCCTGTTTAGGGGCTGTTTCCCAGTCTCCCCCCTCTCTCACTCCTCCAGGTCTTGCCTGCACTGGGCTGAGGGGGCTGCCTCTCTTGGAAGCTTCCTCCCTTGGCTTCCGTGACCCAGTTGTCTTCTAGAGCCTCTCTACCTTTTGACCACCATTCCACATTGTCTCTATTTTGACTCTTTAGTATTATTGCTGTCATGCCGTCCCCTATTGGTTCCTGTCTTCCCTCTCTGGGGGAGCAGGGCCCGTGCTGCGTACTGCGGTGGCCCACCCTGAGTGGCGCGTATTGCTTTACCTGGTGACATGATGGCGGGTTAACCCCTGACGGACCTGCCACGCCCCTGTCCTTCCCTCGTCTGCTTTCAGTTTTGCCATAGCGAAGAGAGGCCGCCTGCTGCTGGCTGACGACATGGGCCTGGGGAAGACCATCCAAGCCATCTGTATCGCGGCCTTTTACCGGAAGGAGTGGCCGCTCCTGGTGGTGGTCCCGTCATCTGTGCGCTTCACCTGGGAGCAGGTCAGTTCTCCTTGTGTTGTGATTTTTACCAGGAAGTGTCCTCAGTGTTGAAGCAATCAAATAACAATTTGGGGACAGGGCCTGGGGAGCTTTAGAAGATCCTGTGTCAGCTGAAGGAGGGAGGGAGAGGAGGTGGTGGCCTTCGGAGGCCAGGCTCATGGTTTTCTGAACTAGAATCAGGTTATACCTTTAGGGAAGAAAGCCGAGGGCTTATGGGCTCAGACTTGCCGCTCTCTGGCAGCAGACGCTTCCTGAGCACCTCCTGTGCCCCTGCTGCTCACCCCGCTCGCCTGTACCACATGGAAGTTTCACAATGGCTACCTCCTTTATTTCCCTGAATCCCGTAGCAGCTGTGTGTGAGTGGACGCAGTTGGTATTAAACCCATTTACAGATGACAAAACTGAATCTCAGCGAGGTGAAGCAGCAGGCTCACTGGTAGTTGGAGGCGTTCTTGGACCTCGAAGGGGCATTTCCTGAGTTGTAGGATCAGGGTTTGTGCACCCTGCAGAAGGTGGTGTGGGCAGGGTGTTCACTGTCAGCCGGGTGCCGTTACAGCTGAAGAACCTGATGTGGGCATTGCCTTAGCACTCGGCCATGAGCTTTGCCTGCCATAAATCCAGGGATCAGAGTGCTTCCGTGAAATGAATAAACACCCATAGAAGCAAACTTGCTGGAGAAAGGAGACCTAATTCATCGTCTGGAGCTTTTCCCAGCTCTCTGCTACTCATGGCAGCTGCTTCCTCACACGCTGGCTTCTTACTAAGCCCCCCGTGAGCCACTTGTGGGGAAGAGGCAGCTCTGCCTGTCGCTGGTCAGCCTGAGGCCCAGACATGCCCTTCCAACTGAACGTGCATCACAATACCTCATTTTTCCCCCCGTCCTTGTGACCTGAATTCCGCCACTGCCTCTAGAAATGAACACTTCAACATATTTATTTGGTGTGGTTAGGTTCCCACAGCACCCTCAAAAATTCTCCAAAAAAAAAAAGAATCAGGTGTTCACTTAGCTATGAGCAGGACCAAAACTGGAGGAAGAACCAGCCCATCGACATCACCATAGTGTCAGCCCAGGGACCCAGCCGCTGACCTGCAGGTACCTGGTGGCCTTCCGTTGGCTCCAGGCACTGGCTTGGGCTAGGGATGGCAAGATTTCTGGAGAGAGCAGGTGTAAGTATTTTTGTCATTATCAGTGTCTTTGGTATATACCAGGATCTGCTAAAAATTCCTTCTCCTAAAAAGAATCACATTCTTGCCCTGCAGAAACTTGCCATCTAGTTAGAGATTCGAGGCCTGAAACCCGCAGACACCGCAGTGCCTGCTAACAAGCGCTTGCTTACGAAGGCAGGCGGTGTCGTGTCGGTGGAAAGAGAAGGAGCGGATGGGTAGGAAGGAGGGCAGTGAAGGCGATTGCTGTTCATGGGCCCAAGGGCCCCAGCAAATACAGGGGGGTGTGGAGAGAAAGGCGCTGAGGCCGTTTTTCGGGGAGCATTAACATCCACTGAGTGCTGTTGATGGGTGGGCTGGGGTCTCAGCGGGCAGCTGCCGGCCAGATCCCCCAGGTGTCCTTCTCCGCTGTCATCCCCAGGCCTTCCTTCGGTGGCTGCCGTCTCTGAGCCCGGACCGCATCAATGTCGTGGTGACCAGCAGGGACCGCCTGACGGCTGGCTTGGTCAACATTGTCAGTTTTGACCTTCTGAGCAAGTTAGAAAAACAGCTAAAGACCCCCTTTAAAGTTGTCATCATTGTAAGTGCCTCGGCAGAGTCTCCAAGTACTTCATCTCTGGGGAAACTTTCTTCTTGAAAGGTCGGAGAACTTTCACGTCTCTGCTCTCCTGGAGCCTCCCTCTGTTTCTGGGAGAATAGAAATCACTGTCTTTAGTTTGTGAGAAACTGACATTTTACTCATCTCAAATTGCAGTTCTCAGCCCTGGCTACATATTAGAATCTCCTGGAGAGTGCTATGAAAAGTGTCATTTACTAGGCCTGAGCTGGGGGTTTGCAGCCCATCTCTCCGACGTGAGGTCATGGATGGAGGCTGGCTTGGGGGCCCTGGGCCCCTGGCCTGGACAGCAAGGGCGTGTGCCTTCATCTGATGGCCTCTCTTGTCCAAATGGCTCAGATCAAACAGTAAGGTTTTTTTCCAGCCAATATAAAGACACTCCCCCACCCCAAGAAAAAGTACAGCTGACCCTTGAACAAGATGGGTTTGAACTGCATGGGTCCACTCATAGGCAAATTTTTTTCAATAGATACAGCAAAGTACAGTAAATGTGTTTTCTCTTCTTTATGGTTTTCTTAATATTTTTTTTCTAGCTTACTTTATGGGAAGAATACAGTAAATAACCATATACCATACAAAATACGTGCTGATTGTGCATGTTATCAGTAAGCCTTCTGGATGAGTAGTTAAGTTTTGGGGGAGTCAAAAGTACATGCTGACTTTTGACTGCAGGAGGCAGGGGGGTTAGCACCCCCAACCCCTGCACTGTTCGAGGGCTAGCTGTACTTTTCACCAGTTTTTGGCTTGTTTTTTTCTTAAGTAGGCTTTACTCAAGTTCTGCTCCCAGATGGGACCGTGCATCTTTCAGTTAACTGGCTTTTCTTCTTTTCGTTCCTCAAGTCCTCCATAAGGAAAGTCTAGAGAGGCCCTGTGCCGGCCACCTGGCAGAACTCAGTGTATTCATGTGGCTTACAAATAAAGATTAGGAAAAGGCATGCAGCTCCCACCCCCCAGTGCAGGTAACCACTAACAGGCATTCAGGGCCACAGAGCACAGTGGATGATTTTCAGCGAAGTTTACCCTTGTTTCTCCTCTTGGCAAAGAAGGGGAAGCCAGTGCCTCCGGACTGATATGAAAGGTTCTTCTTTTTTCAAACGTGTGGATTTTAAAAGCCCGTGGTATTTTCCTTCTCTTAAAAATAGAATTCTCTGCTGACAGTGGCTTCCCAAATCCTGATGCTCAGAACGTGTAGTGCATATCTTATCTAGAAGGAGGGAAAGGAATGAGTTTTTAGGAGGCCCAGAAAAGTCACCAAGATTGCAGTAGAGCCTGTGGGTTTCTCAGCACGGGTCTAGCTGTCGGGGAGGCTCGTTCATCCGTGTGTTCAGCTAACATTGAGCACCGACGGGCATCACACCCTGCACAGACCCACACACTGAAGGTGTGGAGGGAGGAAAGTCGGCCCCATTGTCAGTAGGACAGACAGACACACACAGAGATCATTAGAATACATTTTAGTGCCCAAGTATCATGGGAGCTCAGAGAAGGGAAGAAGGCATAGTTCCTGGTCTCAGGGATCTATTATCATGATTTGGACATGAAAACCATACTATATTCCTAGCTTAAGCAACCTTAAATGTTTATATGTTTTTACAGCTGTAAGGGTAATGAGTCTCTGGGGAAGTCATTTCTGGTTTGGCACAAATTCAGGTGTCGCTTTGAAAAAATGTTAGCATACACGTGAAATGCAAACATTAAAAGAAGTATCCCAGGATGATGGTGATGGCTCTCTAGTAAGTAGGAAGAATAATGCCTTCATTTCTTGGGTGTTCTCCTGTGTCAGGTACTTTACACATAATTGCCTATCTTCCCCATGGCCCCTGAGGCAGACATTATGTCCATTTCACCACTGATGGAACTGACAGAGCGATTCGCCCACAGGCATGAAGCCAGAAAGATGGGACATCATTGATCAAAGTTGGACTGCATCATGTGTCTCTGTTTCTGGCTCAACACTTCAACCTGCCATATGATTTTTGTCAAGCCACTTACCGCCTGCTTCAGTTATTTAAGAGCCCTGTCTTCTGATTTCAGAGAAATGTTATAGAAAGGAATAAAGTGTCAGCTCTAAGATGATTCTTAGAAGAGAATTCAGATGTAAGCCATTTCTTGTGGTTAGTTATAATAGTGGAACATTTTAGCCCATTGGTTAAAAGGGTCCATTCCCTTCCCCATCCTCTGTACTTCCTGCTATTTCTCACTATAGACCCCTTCCTTCTTGGCTGTCGTATCGGCTCATCATCAGACAGGAGAACGAATGTTACACCCCAGGTTTCTAGGAACAGATGCTCTGACATTTGCGGGTTCATCTTGCACTCCTCTCTGTTGTGCTTTTGAGGACCACTTTGGTTCATCATAGCTGAAATGGAACAGGACGTTTCTTACAGATCACCTCTCGAGATAGAGCCGGGATCCCCTTGGTGTCCCCATCATAGGGTGGCCGATACCACTGAGTGCTGACCGAGTTCAGTGGCAGGACTGTTCTAAGGGCTTTATGTGTGTTAGTCCATTAAGACTTGCAGCAACTTGGTTAGTTCGGTAGTGGTGTCTTACCCATTTTGTCCATGGAGAAGCTGGCACCATAGAGAGGTACATATGTATCTGTATGTATGCTGTGTATGCTCAGGTCCATGGCATGTGATTTGTGTACCAAAATAGAAATTTCTTCTCCAAATAAGAATGTGTTACTCACTTGGCTTTAGAAAATATGACATGGGCGCCTGGCTGGCTCAGTCAGTAGAGCATGTGACTCTTACCCCAGGATTGTGAGTTCATGCCCCATGTTGGGTGTAGAGATTACTTAAAAGTAAAATCTTTGGGGAATCTGGGTGACGCAGTTGGGTAAAGCACCTGACTCTTGGTTTTGGCTCAGGTCTGCTCCAAGGGTCACAAGATTGAGCCCTGTATCAGGCTCCATGGCGTGGAGTCTGCTTGAGATTCTCTCTCCCTCTCCCTCTGTCCCCCCCCCACTTGCGCACTGTCTCTTTCCCAAATAAATAAATCTTAAAAAAAATAAAATCTTTAAAAAAGAAAAAAGAGAATATGCCATATTCTAGTTTGCTCATGCATAGAATGCAGAGCTATATAATTAGATTCCATGTTGTAAACCTGACAGTGCCTTGAGGACGGGAATTGGGTCTTCTTCCCCTCCTTGAGTTCCCACGGTACTTTGTCACACTTCGTCACTGACAGCACTTACAACGTTGTCTACCCAGTTGTGGTGTGGCTGACATCCTTCCTGTCTGGTGAGCCCCAGGGGGCAGGAGCCGGGCGCCATGCTGCGCACCAGGGCAGGGCACACGGTGGGCCCGCTCTGGCGTCATGCTGTGCAGACGTGAGGCATGTTGTACTAAGCAGCAAACCACCTCGCAGCAGGTTGCTCAGCGCCGCCTGGGAGGTGGGCCAGCCAGAGAATCATTAACCCCGCTTCACAGTTGGCAAACTGTCCCGGAGAGTTGAAGCGACTTGCCCAGAATAAGGTGGGGAAGCGGCACCAGAACCTGGGTCCTTACCTAGGCGCACAGCTGTCTCCTTGAACAAGAAACTAAGGGAGGCATCCCCAGTGTGACGCCGTGCCAGGGTCAAGCTTAACGTGGGCTCTGGCTCCATGCACTCAGGATTTGGCCCTGTTCACCTGTGTGACCCTTTCTTTTCAGGATGAATCTCACTTCCTCAAGAACATTAAGACTGCCCGCTGTCGTGCAGCTATGCCCCTCCTCAAGGTGAGTCCTGCTGTGTGTTGCTTAGGCTGGCAAGGGGGCCAAGGAGAACAAGGGCTTCCATCCAGGGCGAGGGGCTGCGGGCCATGGACGTGACTTAGCCTTGACTCCGGCCATCAGCGCCAGACTCGTTTTTCTTCCTAACTTCCTGCTAAGGAACTGGCAGTCGGTGCAGTCGTTTCTTTCTCTCAAAGATGAAGGCCTCTGGAAGGTCGCAGGCTTGATGGGGACCACACTGTAGGTCCTCCTCAGGCTCGCGGACAAGGCAGAGGGGGGCCGCCAGCAGCATGCCCTCTGAACAGCTCAGGAGAAACTGCCTGTCTTCTAAGTCACTGTGGGGACAGAGCTGTCGTGGTGTTGAGAACCAAGGGAAGAGGAGTCATGCAGACTCGGAACCAGGCCATCGGGTATCAGCAAGAAGCCCTGCAAAGCTGAGGTGTGCCTCATAAGCCGACGCCCTTTCCCGGGGCCCCCCTAGGCCTGTGTGGTTATCGAGAGGATCAGCCGTCCACGCCCTCACTGTGGTGGTCTAAACTGAGGCCTGAGTGCTTCGGTGGGTCAAGCCTGCAGGGCAGGTGTCGGTGTGGCTCTGGCATAGCTTCACATCTGTATCTAGAAGTGTGCTATTCTGGCATCCCACCCCAGACGGTGGGAAGGCCCCCAAACTTCCATCTTTTTGTGGTGAGCTTTTTCTTAATACTGGGGAGCACTAGTACAATTAGGAAAGTCGCTTTTTCTCTCAGACCCACATAGAAACCTCCCGCAGATGACTTTGGGAGACTCTACTTTGGTTTATGTACACTGAGCAAACTAAAGTCCGTGTTTATCTTGCGCTTCCTTAAAGCAGCCTTTGTGTTGTGCCAGCAGTCTCAACTGCAGTTTTCATTGCTTAAATGAAGCTCGACGTTGTACGTAAACTAGGGAAGACAAATATGCTAAATGTTGGTGAAGCTTATTAACATTTGAAAATTAACTTAATTTTTCCAACTCCCCGTAAAGCACAACTGTCTACTTGTTTCAAGTTTCATTGTTTTCTTTTGTTTTAGGAATAACAAGTAACATGATACATCTTCCAAAGCAGCATTACATCCTGTGCTCCAGACTTAAAAGTCCTTTACTTAAAATCCCTGATTCTCTGCTCGCATTACCTATAAATATTTACGCACACACTTAAATGAAATGTTTTTCCCAGAGTGGTGACCCTTCTTTTGGGGGTGGCTTCAGTAGGTTTTCTTTTGAGACATGTTAACAGATCTTCATACCGTGGTTCCAGTATTACAGCCGCCCCTAGAATTAAATCTGGGCCCCTGATTGCTTAGAAGCTGTGTAGTAGGTAGGGTGTATCACTACAGGTGGAGAGGAAAGCTGCTTTAAAAAAAAAAAAAAAGTCATCTATTTGAGAGAGAGAGCATGAGCAGAGGGGAGAGGGAGAAGCAGAATGCCTGCTGAGCAGGGAGCCTGATACGGGGCTTGATCCCAGGACCCTGGGATCATGACCTGAGCCGAAGGCAGACACTTAACTGACTGAGCCACCCAGGCACCCCAGTAGAAAAGCTGAGCAACCATCTTGTTCATGTGGTCATCGCCTGGCCAGGCAAACTCGACTACATACTTGTTTCTGAAACATATGCTTCTGGGTCAGACCTTTTAAAGCAGCATTTACATCTTTAATGTCGTGGGTGTATTTCAGATTGATGCATTTAAGACAAATCTTTTAGCTGTTAACTAGTATAGATTACTCTGCATTGGCTATAGAACTTGGATGAGTTAAACTTTAAGATAGGACCCATGAACGTAGCCTGCTGTTTATGGAGGTGTCTTGAAGGCCCTCTTGTCTGTAACGTTGACTTCACGGGAATCCAAGCTGCTGATGGGATTGAGTGGAAGTGCGGCTGAGGCATTATGTGCTATTCTGCTAACCAGACCTTTCATCTCTCTGCTGTATTTTCATCTAGGTCAGAGTTTCTCGGTCTTGGCACTATGGACACTTTGGGCTGGATCGTTCTTTCCTGTGCAGAGCTGTCCTGCACACTGTAGGATGTTTATCGGCATCCCTGGCCTCTGCGCACTAATTGTCAGTAGTCCCCCCCGCCCCACACACCAGTGGTGACAACCAAAATTGTCTCCAGATATTGCCAAACATGCCCTGGGAGAGACAGATCACTCCTCTCCATCTCTGTTGAGAACTACTGATCTAGATACTCTAAGGAGATGGATCTAAATATTTTGGGAACAAGAGGAGAATTGGGAGAAGTAAAATATGCTTTTAAAAAGGCACACAAGGGCCTAATTTAGTACCACTTGATTGTTCCTGTAACTTGTGCATCTCCTAGAACTGTATTCTCATAATTAATATTTCAAGACATGTTCAGCAAATGTGCACAATGAGGTAATTAGGTGATATCCTGCAGTCTGTGAGCTAGCCAGGCTGGATCATGTCCTGGAAATGTGGGTCTTGTAAATGGTGACAGCAGGCGCACGCGGGGCACACGTGGCTTAGGTTGTAGGAAGTTGGTGTTGTGGTCCCCTGGGAAATGTGACATCTTTCTTCCCCCACAGCACTATTTGCTTGGGTTACCAAGCAGGGTAGTTCTATTTTTTATGTACACATGTGTAAAAGTAGGCAAGACAGAAAGCTATGAAGAACAAAATTCAATCACCTTAATTCCTTCCAACAGAGAAAAACCACCATTAACACGTCCGTTGTAGGGCAAGGTCATTATTTTTAATGGCTCTAGAGCCTTCTGTTGGGATGGATGCATCCCATAATTTAGCCCTTAGTTGGACATTGTTTTGCTGTAATCAGTAATTCTGCAAGTGAATGTCATCGATGTACTCGTAGTTTGCAAACTTTGACCTATTAGGACAAATTCCTACGCGCAGAATTGCTGGGTCAAAATTTCACCTTTTGATAGATGCCTCTGAAGTCTAGTGTGGCCAGTCATAACCATCTTTACTCCCACTCAACCCAGATCACACAGTCTTCTCCATATGACTCCAACCTGAAGGTTGTCAGTCTCTTGCTTTTGTGCAGTGAGGTATGTGTTTGAGTTTTTCTTTGATTTATAGTGCTTTTTATTGTCAGACTAGTGTTCGATTATTTCTCTAGAGGTAAAAAGCCCTCAAAATCCCACCATCCTTTCCTACTAAATAGCTTTTTCTCTTTTTGTGAGTAGAGTCCTTTTTACATCTCTACTGATTGGTTAGATGAAACAAGAGTAGTGGCCTAAAACGAATGAGCTATTTCTTTTTTCCTTTCTCATTAAAGGAGTTTAAGTAGATGATATATTCAAAGGGTGTACAGTGAAAAATAACTCTTTCTCCCTCCTCTGGGGCCCTGATCCCTTGATTTCTGTCTCCGAAGGCAGCCAGAGTTACCAGATTCTCACATTTACTTCTAAAATTTAGTCTGTTCCCAGCTAAGCGTGTGTGTGTGTGTGTGAGTGTGTGTGTGTGTGTGTGTGTGTGTGTTTCCTTCCTCCCTCCTCAGAGTGTTCCTCAACCACTGTTTGCTCCTGCCTTTCTTCTCTGAATAGTGTATCTTGGAAATCATCCCACCTTATTTCAGATGACTGGACCTCGTTCTTACAGATAGTATTGTATTGTATAAATCTATCATAATATGTATCATCTGCTCCCTTTTGATGGATTTATAGCCAGGCTTTGGCCATTACATATAGTATTACGGTGAACTGTTTTTCACATGATATACAAGAAACAGGTGGTAGAAAACCTAGTCTCTCCTCGTCCAGAAGAGATGGCTCTTTGCCCCTCTTAGCCTGAAGGGAGAGTGGTATCATTTGGAAGTTCTGTTCTCCCAGTGTGATTCCTGCGGGAGGAGTCCCTTGTGGTCCTGCTGTTCTGGCAAATAATCCTCCACTTTATCACAGAATCAGGAAGGAAATTGTTGGAGTCTAACACTTAAGGTAAAATAGACTATTTTTTTCTAGAGGAAAAAAACATAATGTTTAATTTGAGCCTGTGTGTTATATTAATAACATCTATGCTCATGCATGCCTTGAAGGTCAAAACAATGTAACTTTAATTAGCTGTAATTATGGCATTTGATGTGTTCTCATACATTTTGGTGTTTGTGAACCAGAACACCTGTAGTCCCATCCTTCCTTCTTTCTTTTCTTTTTTATTTTATTTTTATTTATTTTTATTTTTTTTAAAGATTTTATTTATTTATTAGAGAGCGAGCGAGAGAGAAACAGCATGAGAGAGAAGAGGGTCAGAGGGAGAAGCAGGCTCCCCGCTGAGCCGGGAGCCCGATGTGGGACTCGATCCCAGGACCCTGGGATCATGACCCGAGCCGAAGGCAGTCGCTTAACCAACTGAGCCACCTAGGCGCCCTTCTTTTTTTTTTTTAGAGATTTATTTATTTATTTGACAGAGAGAGACACAGCAAGAGAGGGAACACAAGCAGGAGGAGTGGGAAAGGGAGAAGCAGGCTTCCCGCGGAGCAGGGAGCCCGATGCGGGGCTCGATCCCAGGAGTCTGGGATCATGACCTGAGCCGAAGGCAGATGCGTAACGACTGAGCCACCAGGCGCCCCCTTCCTTCTGTTCTTCCCGCAGAACTAGTCACCTTTTACATGGCTTCAGTATTTTATTAATACCAGGGCAGTGATGCTTGCTTAGCTCTGGTTCTCATGCAGATCAATTTGGTGTTGGCAGGAGCACTCAGACTTGTGACTGGAACTTTGTCTCTTTTGGGAAAAGGCTAGATCCTAGAAGGAACCGTTTTGTATGAAATATGTTGACCCAGCCAGAGACTCAGAAAGGCCATCTGACGTATCACTGGGTGGTAGGTGGCCCTCTGCTGATCCCTGGAGTGGCCTCTGGTCAACAGTGGTCATAATGATGCCGTTTGTCTTGGTTTGGTCTTGCATATCATGGAGAGCAGAGGAAAAAACAGAGCCTCGATCTTTTCCCCGATTCCGGTCACTGGGTTTCTCCTGAAGAGTGGGTTTCCCCTCTTGTTCTCAGGGTTTAGACTTAACCACAGGTGTTGACTCTTCTGTTGCTTCTTGGCTCGTGACGGTGATCCTGCCTCTGTTCTTGATCTCTGTACTTGTGGTCACATGCCCCCAGACTGTGTTTGCCATTCTCCTTGTTTTTGAAGATTCTGTAATGACTTCTGAACTCATGACAGTGTAGCTCCGGTGTCCCTGCCTCATGGGGCCAGTGTGTATCAGGACACTTGGGTGGCACAGGTGTGATGTGACCTTCTCTTCGATGTTGCCAGCTTTCTCAAGTAGTACTTCTAAATCACAGGGGACTCCGCCTGTAGACCGAGCTTTATTTAGAGTACCATTAGGAATAACATGGGACAAGAATGGGGCTCAGCTTTGGGGAGCATGACGTTTTCCCCTGTCCAGAGTCTTGGTGAAGTGTGTTATACCCAGTCAGAATTATTCGGTAAAACAAGTTATTGGCTCAGTTGGAAAAAAAGAGGTAACAACAGAAAGTGATGAAGAATTCCCAGGCTGCTGCTTGTATGAACTTACAACAGTTTCGGCTCTTCTCTGTAACAGAACATTCTCTTGGCTCATATTTAAAAATCTATGTGTAGTTTTATTTACTCTGAGTTGGACTGGATTCTCCTTGGCAAATTATATATACCAACTCGTCCTGCTAGCATCCTGTTCCCCAGGGCTGAACTGATGACCTTAATCCCTTAGGAAACTGAACCTGTCTTTGAAAGTCACCTGCCCCCAACAGCGTCTGCTCCTGTGAATCACATCATTTCTCTCGGACATCACACAGAAATGATTTTTTTACATTGCTCCATGATGGGTTTCCCGGGTGCCGCTCTCTTTTGTTAGCCAGAGGAGTTGACTATAAAGTGTTCTGTTTAGTGTTGATTTACGTAGTTTTATGCATTTCTATTTTCCGAAATTGGAGGTTCTCCGAGGTGGAGGGTGACCCATAAATCATGGGCAGCTGGGCAGGTGGACAGGATTAAAGTCCGTTTGGGTGACAGTGGGATGACAGTACCAGTGTGTTGGGGCTGAGCAGGGAGCAGGCTAAATCATTCCAGAATAGAAAAGACGCTATTCTGGTTTCTTTTCAAAGCTGGCCTTTTTCTTTTTCCATAATGCTGCCTCTGCTTTTTAAACACCCACAAACGCCCATTTTCAATGGTCTTATCACCCCTAGTGTATGGGTGAACGGGCTCAGAATTGACTCTGTCCTGTAAATACCCACCCAAGAACCTGGGAGTTATTTTCCATCACCTGATGAGCTGTCTCTGCCCAGGCTCCATCCCCAGGCGGCAGCAGAACAGCGACGTGGGGAATCGGTTTGGGAAGACAGGCCAATTTTCTCTCATTGGTAAGACTTCTCATTGTCCCCGTTTCATTGAAATGGTCTTGAGCCAAGGCAAACGATGCTACAGACGTCATTCAAGAAGCTCATTGTTATTTTAATGAGCCTACATTAAACCGTGCAGGAAATTAGAAGCCTGGGTAATTGAACTGTGGAAAACTGTGGAAAATTATAGCTGGAGAAATTCATACCTCTCCTGTCATAATGGAATTAGGTATTGGCAGTCACGGAGAGGGCAAAAGTGCATCTTGAGAGTTGTATATATTGTATATGTATAAAGAGTCCTTTTTCTTCCCTCTGTTGCACCTTTATTTATTTATTTTTATGAGGCAGCATATCCATTTGAAAACCTAATTTCCTCCCTTAGGTGATTTACTGCATGCCATTGCCTTATACTTACACTCGTTAACTCAAGGTTACAGTGGTTAACAAGGTGTTTCTAGACAATGAGCTCCCTGGTAGGCTTCCTTCTAGGGCTGAAATGGATTTTACCTCCAGGAATTTTTGGCCATTCCATGCCCTAATACAGTGAGGAGTGTCTCCCTTATTCTCATCCTCTGTCTCATCTTAGTAAGAGGTAGGATATTTCGGTCTGATCTCTTCGGGTCAGGTTGGGGTCAAGCTAGTTAGGAACCTGGAGTTCATCACTGGAATCGACCATTTATTTCGGTTCTACCCATTGATGAGCAGGCTGCTGCAGACCTGGGCTGAGTTTAGGGTAAATGGATCTGGGTCCCACTTTTTAAAGTCCTTATTAACTGCAAAATGAGCTAAGTCAGGGAGCTCTGGGCTCAAAGCGTTGTGCAGCTGAGTTAGCGACAGCCTCTTTGTCCTCTGAAGAAAATCAGGTAGAGGCTTGTGCACAGGCCACCCCTGACTCTTCCTCCTGGCAGTAAGAAAGGGCTGGTCCTCAGTGTCATTTTCTGACTGGAAGTTCAGCTCGGATGTCAGAGATCCCCTCTGGAAGCAGGTCAGACCTGTTGCTCTCTGTCCCCCACTTCCACTTCCTCTTCCAATGCTGGATTCGTTGAGTTTTTCCCATCTTCCCGGGGACACTGGTTAGCTGAATATTTCTCAGCATACAGCGAACATTTGTTGGTTGCTTACTTTGTGCCAGGCTCTGTGCTACAGAAGATAAAGGTGAACACAGCCCTGATCTCAAGATGCTCACAGTCTAGTGAGGGAGACAGAGAAGGTGGAATTCAGTATCATGTGCTGAGTCCTGATGTAGGGACTTATGACAAAGGCAGCCTAGGAGGTGGTATCTCACTGCTTACATGGGTCATACCATGAGGCTCTCTGAACGTGTGTGCTCCTCTACCTTTGCTTAGAGTTCCCAGGTATGGGCCACACCGGGATCTGGAGTGAGGCCAGCCTCTGGTGTCATTGGGATCTAGATCTCCCTGGGTCAAGAGGAGTAAACTGGCGAACTGCCAGCAGTCAGGGCGCCCAGGAAGGGAGAGGTGCTCTTGCTGCCTTCCAAGGCATTTTGCTCTTCCTGGGGCATCCAGCTCCAATCCCGGTGGGGCATTTGGGATAGTCTCTAGGTGCTCCTCTGTGTGCTTTCAGCACCTTTGGCTGTTTGTCTTCTAGGTTGCAAAGAGGGTGATCCTGCTGTCTGGCACGCCAGCGATGTCCCGGCCCGCAGAGCTCTACACCCAGATCATCGGGGTCAGGCCAACTTTCTTCCCTCAGTTTCATGCTTTTGGACTTCGCTACTGTGATGCCAAGCGGGTATTTATTCTTTCCTCCCCTCCCCCTCCCCCCCAACCCACCGCCCCGTCCCTCTCCCCGATTTTGATACTTACCTTTTGTTCCTTCTCTTTGGCCATGGTATGATCAGAAGCACACTGGCCAGGGAGCCAGACCCAGATTTTCATCCTGCTTTGCCCCTAACTCTGACCTTCAAGTGTCCTCAAGAAGAACAGTCCCTCCTAGTTTTAATGCTTGTGATTCTAGGGTGGGGTTTCCCAATAAGGGGACCAGTGGCTGATGTGTAGGTGCCCGGAGCTCTGAGAAGGGCGCAGAGGCGAGCTAGGGGTGCAGCTGGGGCCCATATCCTCTGCATGGAAATAACAGTAGAGGCCTCGAAGCAGGTAGAGAGGGAGTGTGATCTGGAGCTGCGTCAGTGGGCTCTCATCAGCCAAAATGTCGACTCATTACAGTGAAGTGTGCCTGCTCAATAGGCCAGAAGCCTCTGACCTACAGATTATCTGTAGGTGCCAGCAGGGCAGGTGCCTCTGGGACTCGAGTCTGCACAGCTTCAGTCTCCAAGGATGGCAGAGGGAGCTTGTAACTGCAAATGCCATTGCAATCAAAATCTTGATTTCTAAAACCTCGATTTCTTTTAACTGAAAAAAATATTTAATGACTTGGGGAAATAAAAGAGTGGGAAAAAAGTAGGATGCAAAATTTTCCCCATCATTCAGTTGTTCATTCCTTCTCTCTTCCTCTCCCTTCCCCATCCCCTCCCCTTCTCCCCCCCACCTCTCTTTCATTTATGATTGGAAGATAATGTACACCAAAATGGATTACTTTTGTAAGCCAGAAAATCAACATTTTTTTAAATGTTTAAATGACATTATTCACTGATCCTCCATTCCTCCTCATGGGCCATTGAATCCATCAGTGTTCATCAATAGGATCCAGCCCACTGAGCATGGGACACTGTCCTCCTCAGTAGAGGAGGCTCCTCACCAGAGCCTCCACGATTTCCTGTCTCTCCTTGTCTACGGCCGCGCCTCCCTCCATGTCAGCAGCATGTTCGTGGCAGACTCAGCATGTTTCCTGAGCTAGGGGTGCCTCTCAGTGTCAGGCAGCCATAACCGGCTTGGCCAAAGCCTGTGCACGTTTCCAGTATTCTTCCCCAAAAATAACTCGAGAAAGGATGACACGGAGAATCAGCTCCTTGTTTGCTGAGGTGTTCATTTTTTTCCTTACTCAGCTGAGCTGTTTTCTTCTGGGATTGGGCTGCTTTCTCTTCAGGAAGGGACTCCTCCTTCTTGGCCTCTAGTGCCTTCTGAACTCTCTCCAGACCCGCCAGTGGGATACAACTCATCTGTTTGCTGGGATGCAAGGGTCTGGGTTGGCCATGGGGGATGGAAGCACAGGTCTGGGTTGGCGACCTCGCAGACGCTGATGGGATATGGATGGGCCTGGCCGGCATCTTCTTCCTGTGCCCCGGTAGCTCTCTCTGACCCAGGCTCTGGAACTTCCACAGTCAGAAAACCAGAGGGAAGATTCGCTAATTTTTCTTTCTCATCTCTATTTTTGAAAGTGGCCAGGGCAGTGAATTTATCCTTCAGTGACAGATCTTCGTCTCGCAAGGTCAGACTTCTCGAACTCCCAAACGCTGTTCCCACAGGGGTCCACATGGCCCTGAATTAGAGCGGCAGACTCTGGCCCCTCTCACAAGTGTAGATCACTTCTCCTTTTCCCCAGTTTTCTGCTGTAACTTCGTAAACCTCGACGCCACAACCCGCACTCTGCCCGACTTCTTTCTTATGGATGGCGCCCTGGCTGCAGAGGTTCCAACCCGGCTCGAAGACCCCATTAGTTCAGACCTTCAGGGTTCCTGTTTTGTGAGCAAAGGACAAATATACTGAGCCACTATTTGCATCAAAGATGCTGACACTTTGGAGAAATGGCTGTTTGCTTACCCATGACGCATGCCATCTTGATGAAAAAGCCTTGCTGTGCAAGTTTGTGATGTAAATAAGATTGTCTGCCTTATTTTTTAAATACTTTTTTCAAAAAACTTTCCAAGTACTTTAAAAATACCCACTTACATTCAAACAAAGTACTTATAATGTAAATTGTAGTGCTTTGCAAAGTTAATTGCAAACCATTTTTAGCTGCTTATTGAGGCAGGAAATTTCTGTTATTAAATGTATTTAAAGCTATACACTTCTTTAACAAAATCTGTAATGACTTTCCCCGTGGATCAATCCAGATTAGATTCTGCCTGGTTGTCATGGTCCCTCAAAACTCTTCATGAGTGATTTGTACCTCTGTCCTATTTGTAAATGTCCCACTTTCTGAAAAGAATCTTCTCTTCCTCGACTATCTGGGCTCACAGTATAATGCTTAGCTAGTGATGGTAGGGGCTGAAGACAGAATTCATTGCCTTTACCCCCAGACTGTCCCTTCCTGTGTCCCCAGTCTCTGTCCACCATCTCCCCAGTCTTCATGCCATCCTTATTAAATTCATCCTTCCTCTCCTCACTGTGTCCCCTCCCCCACTAACAACCAAGAAAACAAACATAGACAGTGCCTTACCCCTTCCCCTCCTTCCACCTAGCCCAGTGCCTGCTACATGGTAAATTTTCAATAAAAGCTTGCTGGATTGTGAATATTCCAAATTTTAAATCTTTGGTATTATTGGGTTTTAACCTACAAGATTAAAAGCTGACATAGGAGCATGCTATCCAAATTAATTATGGTATCCACTTGTTCCCAGCATGATTTTTATTTAATACAGCCTGTAGGGCAGGGCTGCCTTTTTTTTTTTTTTTTTTTTACTGTGGCCAACTTCTTGCATTGAGAAAAGCCACTGAAGAGACTGCCCCTTGCTGAGCTCATTTTCGACCCCATTGCATGAAGGCATTTGCTGAGAACTTCCAGTTGATTTCAGAGAATTTTTTTAAAGAAGAAGCAGTTTTTGATCATTTTACTTTTCCACCTTTGACCATCTATCTCTTCCTATCCTCTGTTTAGCAAAGGACACCCGCCATGTCTTCACAATTAGAGGCTAGGTTCACTGGCCCTCGGAAATGAACAAGCCTAGCTTCTGCCTAAGGTGGTTTATGGTCCAGGGGAGGTTGAGACAGAAAGAGAGACAAGCAGCTGGAAACGTAAGGCAGCAGACACCTTGGTTCCCTCATTTCTACGGGACTGGAGATGTCAGTTCTATTTCGAGTAAGATTGGTAGTGAAAGATACCGGTTTTCATTTTAACATCTTCTCTAGCTATGTGACCGGGAATAGATATTCTTGCTCATTGCCTCCCATGAGCTACTAAGTGAAGAAACCATTTTTATGAAGGACTGCCTGGGCACCCTAAAACCCACCTCTGGTCTCAGCCAGACTGGCAGAAGCCTGTGCTCTTGGTCCCTCCCTCCAATCCCCAGCAGCAGCAACAACACACTGTGCATCTCATTGCACTTGGTTGTGCGGGGATAGTCTGTACTAAGGAACAACAGCATCTTAAATCTCAATACATCTCATCAAATAAAGATATTACTGAGAAAACGTGATTTGTTTCATCGTGCAGTGGACTTTAGGATGAGCCCTGGGGAAGATGATTTCTTTATTGAGAATGCATGAATAGTCTGACAAGCCACACCTCTTACTTGTTTTTAAAAGTAACGGACACCAGACCTCTCAGCGTCTTGCATTTGCTGCTAGAAAGTTCAGCGTGTAGAACACCAAGATAGATGTTTTTAGTTCACTTTATTCCTGACTTTCTTTTTCTCTTTTCCTTCCTTGCTCCCACCTGTATTATAGGAGGTTTCATTCATCCTTTAGAGCCCCTTGAAGTTGTCTGAACAAAGCCACAGGAAGAGAAGGTCGTGAGCCGGTTGAGGTCGCAGCCCGGTTACTTGGCCCTAGGAGAAGCTAACTGGCTGCGTGTCTTGGTTCTTCCTCCACAGCAGCCCTGGGGATGGGATTATTCGGGCTCCTCCAACCTGGGCGAGCTGAAGCTCCTGCTGGAGGAAGCGGTCATGCTGCGACGCCTCAAGTGTGACGTCCTGGCCCAGCTCCCGCCCAAGCAGCGCAAGATGGTAGCCATTGTCCCTGGCCAGATCAGCACCAAGGCCAGAGCCGCCCTGGACGCCGCGGCCAAGGAAATGACCACCATGAACAAAACTGTGAGTCCGGGGCTTGAGATGGGGACTTGGAAGTCGATGTGTCCACAGCTGGTCCTTCCCGGGAGGGGGTCCACCGGGGTCACCCAGAGTTCTCGGAGCTTGCTGTTCCAGGACCTCTTCCCACGCCCCTGGGCAAGGACCGTGAGCCCATGTCCTCTCTCAGCCTACCTAGTCTCCTTCCAAAATCTCTTCCTACTTTGCGGTTTTGTACATGTGTAGATCACTGTTGACAGATGGTAGTAAAGATAAACCCCATGGCAACGGCAGAATGGTGACGTACATTCAGAATCTCTCAGAGAGAATCGGAGTTTCTGTTTAGTGTATTTTGAGAATGCCTTAAAGTCTAGTAACTGTTACTCAGTCTAGTAACAGTTAGAAGTTAGTTCTAGGTGTATTTGTTATATACGTTAACCTCTTTTAGTCAAGATAACAGATCGACATTTATAGAACAGTAGGGTCTTCAGACCCTCTTAGCCCTTAATCCTTATTACAGTCATTTATGGTTGGTAAGAAGTTGGCATCCCCATTTTATAGAAAGGGAAACTAAGGCCCACAGAGAATGTGATTTACTCAGTCTTACGGCTGCTCCAAGCCTGTTACCCCTATATTTTAAGGTCTTAACACTATGGTGGTTTTATCTTTTCAAAACACTTTCATATCTGTCTTCAGTGTCACACTGTGCCAAGTGCGGTAAAGTAATTTACACCAGCTCCATTTCTGTCCTTTTGGGATAAAACCATCGCCAAGAAAATAACAGTCATTGACATTTCTTTGACATCATCATAAAGCATTATCTGAGCTTGTTATTACCCTGTGTAAAGAAAGTTAGATCAAGATGAGATCCCAGCCTTGTGGGAGAGCACAAAATAAATAAGAATGACAAGAGACAGAATGTGTAGGGTTTTTATGTTATTTTACCATGTTATGAGCAAGACCAATGGGTAACTTTTAAGAAACAAGAGTGGGGCGCCTGGGTGGCTCAGTTGGTTGAGCGACTGCCTTCGGCTCAGGTCATGATCCTGGAGTCCCGGGATCGAGCCCCGCATCGGGCTCCCTGCTCGGCGGGGAGTCTGCTTCTCCCTCTCCCACTCCCTGTTTGTGTTCCCTCTCTCGCTGTGTCTTTCTCTGTCAAATAAATAAATAAAATCTTTAAAAAAAAAAAAAAGAAAGAAACAAGAGTGTAGGGTAGAAGATACGCTGGTAAGTTGTCAAGCTGTCTGTAATTTACGCGTATTACATACAATAATCTGGATAGTCTGGAGGAAGTGATCAGGCGTAATGTCTTCATTGTGGGGTTTTCCAGCAAAATTCCCCAGCACCGATGTGGAGATACAGACCAGTGGTTCTCAAACTGTATTTCAGTGGAACATGAACCGAAGCAGAACATGTTGCTAAAATCACTGTTGGTGGTCTTTTTCTGATTTCTAGAGATAAAAATTCAATGAATGGAAATTCTTTTTTTTTTTTTTTTAGATTTATTTATTTTTTAGAGAGAGAGAGAGAGGGCTGGGGGTAGGGACAGAGGGAGAGAGAGAATGAGAATCCCAAGCAGGTGCTCTGCTGAGGAAAGAGCCCAGCATGGGACTCGATCTCACGACTCTGAGATCAGGACCTGAGCCAAAATCAAGGGTCAACCGCTCAACCAACTGAGCCACCTAGCCACCCCTGAATGGAAATTCTTTTTCTCAGTTTTAAGCTTTTTCTTAATAATTCTCTTAAATCTTTTATGTCTACTAACTGTTGCCCATGAGTGAACTCTGCCATCAAGAAAACCAATGAACAAGTATAGCAAATATATTAATGGGAAAAATTCAGATGTGGGGTATTTTTAGGTGCAAAGATCTGAATGTTTATAAATATTCTACATTTTAGTTCCTTGTGTGTGTGGTGGAGGTAAGCCTATCGGTATTTTGTGGAATTCCCCAGAGAATCCCCTCACCAGTCCCTGGTCCCCCTCCCAAACCAGGCAGAGACCAGCAATGTAGACCACAGAAAAAGCAGGCAGTGGGCATTTGAACTGAAGAGGAACAGCATATCGAGTGGCCAAGAGGCAGCTGTAAATTGTGCAGTATGGCTCAAAAGAAGTATGGGAATTTTTAACTTAGTGCAACAAGGTTTGCAAGCATTTTTAAAATTTTTTGCCAATTTATGTAGTTCCTCGCCTTAGGTTATGGGGCTCTTTCTAAAGATGATTTCAAATGTGACCTGGAGGTTTGACTTCTGAGTTTACAGGCAATAATGGGCGCTGGGGGCGCCTGGGTGGCTCATTGGTTAAGCGTCTGCCTTCGGCTCAGGTCATGATCCCAGGGTCCTGGGATTGAGCCCCGCATAGGGCTCCCTGGTCAGCGGGGAGCCTGCTTCTCCCTCTCTCTCTGCCGCTCCCCCTGCTTGTGCTCTCTCTCTCTCTTTCTTTGTCAAATAAATAAATAGCATCTAAAAAAAAAAAAAATTTACTAGGCTAAACCATGGAAATCAGGAATGTTTGGTATTTTTATTTACATAGGTACTATGTAAATCCCCCGAATTCTTTGGGCTATTTTGATATTTTCTTTTAAACCTAAAAAGGGGAACCATGACGTGCCTCGTAGGCCTAGTGCTGGAAAAGTCCCTAAGGACAGTGTCAGTCGCTCTGAGACCCTCCTGTTGGGTGACTGTTCTCTCTGCTTCTTCATCCCAGAGTCATAACGCTGTTGTGCAGATTATGAAAAACCTTGATTGCAGTGGAATTCGAGAATCCAGCAGAGAAAGAGCCTAGAGCTCTTCTCAGTCCAGTGCTTGGGACTTGCTGTTTCCTTGGCATCTTAGGAGAATTAGGAGCTTGTTCCTAAAAGAGAGAAATTGAGTTGGTACAGATGACCCGCAGGATGATGCTGAAGCCGGATACTAGATTCTTTCCGATAAGAAGATAAATCCTTGATAAATTGGTTCCCTTTTGTGGTCTTTAATGTAAGCTCATTTTTATGTGGAACATCCAAGTAGAAAATGAATTTAGGAGCTTTGCCCTTGAGACTGCCAGAACCTTTCTTACTCCAAAGCCACTGATGTGGTGCATCTGTCAACTGCGGATCCGATTGGAGGCAAAACCCTCCCTCAGTTCAGGAAGGGGAACCCGTGTCAGCCAGGAGTTGGACTAGCTGGCCCTTGACATCCCTTCCAAACCCTGGCTGGCTGTGAAATCCTGCGTTGAAAAAGTCAAAATGGGGGTTAGTGGTTTTATGGTTTGGGGCAAGTAAGGAAGGCCTGTGAATCTACAGAAAGTTGCCCCTACCACTTTTTTTTTTTTTTTTTTAGATTTTATTTATTTATTCATGAGAGACAGAGAGAGAGAGAGGCAGAGCGAGAAGCAGGCTCCCAAGGAGCAGGGAGCCGCATGCGGGGCTCGATCCCAGGACCCTGGGATCATGACCTGAGCTGAAGGCAGACGCTTAACCATCTGAGCCACCCAGGCGCCTACCCCTACCACTTTTAAGTTACTTTGTAGCCCCAAGTTTCCCGGCGGGGTTCCAGCAAAGGGCTCCTGCTCTGTCAAGAAGCAGTTCTTTGCTCCCTCACACCTTCCCATCTGGAGGAAGACATTTTTTAAAAAAAAAGCTTTAAATCACAGAAGCCAAGGCGAAGCGGCCCACTTATAAAACATAATGTACAATGAAAGCTCTTTCTTATTTTCAGGTGAAATAATAGCTGTCCCTTCCCGGGCTAAGAAAAGCTGACCTAATCCTCCTTTGTCTATAGTAATTTTTTGATCAGCAAACCAGGAACAGAAAAATAGAGCAAGTCCGCACAGACTTCCTGGTGACAGTGGCAGTTCACCCTTCTGCCATTTGACAATACATTCAAATTCCAACAGAAAAAATAGAATCAAAACCCCAGTGGATCTAATTTAGTAAAAGCCGAAGAACAAAGAACGCAGGTTATTTAAAATTTCCTGGCCTGTGGCTGGCAAAAGAAGTGAGATCATTAATGCACTAGTATTGTGTCTACTCAGTTTTGGGGAGGTTTGGGTTTTTGTTTTTTTTTAAGATAATACTGTTGATCTCTCCTACATTAAAATAGCTGTCTATTGCATAAAATCTGTAAGATAAAAGTACTTAAAAGTAACATCGATCAAGTGTTTCTTATTACTACACTATGAACAAGAGTCACCTATCTTTTTTATCATATAATTTTGGCATATATGATCTGGGTAGTTTTTCTATAAAATGTGTGTATATTTGGCTTTCAAATATGCATGATTTACACGTACACTTATATATAGATACAGATATAATTTATGTATATAATAAGTAACATATTTTTGAAAGCAGAATTGGTACCCTATAAATGTCTATCAGGTGGGGAGGAAAACAGGTTACAAAACTTCATCCTGAACACTTTTCTGTGTTGTTAAATGTTCTTTTAAAGCACAATATGTGTTTTCTCTCATGGCCATATTAGAATTTTGCCAGGAATTGTGAGTTGGACATTTGGGTTATTTCAGTTCCCTATTGTAAGTAACCAGATACCAAGAAAGCAGCTTCCATAGGAATTTGTGAACGGGGACTGTATGGTGAGGGTAGGCATGAAGGAGTGAGTTGCTGCAACATGGGGCTGGGCGCACTTGGAAGTCATCCCTGCCAGTGCCCGTGGGCCGACCCCACAACTGAGTATGATAAAGGGGTTTGCTCCCCACACCTCCTCAGCTCTTGGTGGTAAAGCTCAGGCGAGGTTTCTCAGAGTGCTTTCTGCCACTTGCCTATCTGTTTGTTCTGCCCTCCCCCTCTCTGCTTAGCCGGTGTGGAGGGAGAGAGCGTGGGTGAGAGGAAGGACCTGACAGGAGCAGGGGTGGCCTCTGAAGGGCACGGGAGTCAATGTGAAGACAGGATGACTGGGGTGCGCTCTGCTTGAGGCATGCCCACTTGCGGGTGAGGTCAGCACTTGGAAGCCTGGCTCTGTCCCTTTGCTGTATCCTACCAGGGACCGCATTATGTTAGAGGGCCTGGCCTGCTACAAGGGACCCTTTGAGGGGACATGAATATACCTCAGACGTCTGTGAGCTCTTTGTCCAGAAGGGAAAAGTGTGTGTCCAGAGCTTCATCAGAGTCTACACTGGGTCTATAGCTGAAAAAGAGTTTAAGACACACTGTCACAGAGTCGTATCTCCAACAAGAGTTCTCAGGAAGTTTGTTCAGTTGTACCTCTGCCACAAGGCAGGATGGACGGTGGCCACCACTGCCACAAGAATGACATGGCCCCACTAGCCTGTCAGCGGCCCCCTGGCTTCCTGTGGTTCCGGGTTATCTTCCTTTTTTCTCATCAAGTCCTCGAGGAAAGACACTGTTGGGAGGCAGGAAGCTGTTTGGACCAGGCAGCTTGTCCCACCACCTGTGGTGTCCGTTGTTTAAGGTACAGCCTGGCTTCAGGGCCATGGATGTTATTACTGTGGGCTCACTTCCTTGTTACATGAAGAAGCTATCGTGTCTGTCACCTGCCTCACAGACCCCCAGGGGCATCTGTAATCCACGCTTGCTACTGGAAGGAGAGGGCCACCCTAGCAGTGATGGTAAGGGTGTCTGTCATCTCTGGGGAACCCAGAGTGATGGTAAATGTTTTCTCATAATATTGTGAAACTGTGCACCTCCTGTGCTAGCATCCTTGATTAGTATTTATTTAGACGCCAGCTATAAAGAAAACATGGTTTCTTCTCCTGGGAGGTCAATGGCCTTATGTGGGAGCCAGGCCAAAAGACACATGAATAATGGTTTTGAGATGATTCTACAAGAGACTAGTTGGGGTCCATTGGAATTGATTCAGTAAGTCTTGGACAGAAGGAAGCTTTATCAATTGCGTATGGACACAGCATGGCAGAAGAAAAAGGGGAGGCAAAAAGCAGCTTGGGCCAGTGTCATGTGTAAGTTGTCAGCAGACTATAGGAAGTGGTTTACATAGCTTAACAAGGGCTGCATTTCAGCTGATCACGTGAGCCTGTGTGGATGGTGGAGCGTGGCCCAGGCACCTTTCCCGAGGGCTCTCGTGTTCCAGGTCTCACCACTGGCTGTTCACAACAGTTCCTGGGAGATGACAGAGGACCTGTAATGGTGCACCTCTGATGACAGACTAGAGTCTCTGCGGCTCCCATGGCTCGACTAAATTGAGTGGATGAGTCGGGGTCTCCCAGCTCCGATAACTGGCATTAGGATTTGTAAAGCTCCAAGCAGTGATGATTATGTTAGCTCATCCCAGGGTTCGCAGAGTGGGAGACTTTCAACCCTAGACTTCTCTTTCCACAGAAACAGCAGCAGAAAGAAGCCCTCCTTCTCTTCTTCAACAGAACAGCTGAAGCTAAAATCCCATCTGTCATGTAAGTGGCCACCAAGTGTCGCCTTCTCTCTCCCACACTCTGTCTCTCTCTCATCTTGAAAAAGAAACACCTATCACCTTAACCTCCCAGAATGGTTTTACTGCTGTGCAAGAAACGATCAGAGCCTAGAATTACAGCTGCCTTCAATACAAAGTTCAGGGCAGCGTAGCCTCATCACCCGCAGGGCATAAGCGGGCCTGTCACAGGAGCACTGCCGGTCGAGTTTGGGGTCCTCGACAGCTCCTGTCTTAACCAAGCTGGAGCTGCTGCCACTTACAAGGAGGGTGGGGTTGACCAAACACTAAAGGGAGCTTTTCCCCGTAGTAGGAAACTGTGGTCATTTGCCTGTAGACACAAGTGAGGGGTTTCATGGAAGACCAAGAAGGCTGCCTTATGGGGATTCTCTGGTATTCTCCAAAGACATGAAGTCTCAGCCATTATTTACCTGCATAAAAAGGCAACTGTCAAAGTTTGTTCAAAAGATATGGGCAAGGGGCCATTGTCACACTTAAGTTTTCCTTCCGCCTTCTATACTAAGGCTGAAGTCATAATTCCTATTCTTAAATGTATTCACTGACTTGAAAAATTGTCTGCCTTTCTTAAAGAAAGGAAAAACCCACTCATGTTCAAATATTCACTGTGGTAGAAACCTGAGGCAATTCTCATGACGTGCATTTGCCTGATTTTTTATTGTTTAACATTCATGAGAGACTCTGGCAGGATAATGGTCCAAGTGATTTAATTACAATGAAAATGAATTTAGCGTGGGTTGAGCGGTGCCAGCTTGGCTGTGGGGACCAAGATCTGTGGATAAATTGAGACACACGCAGCCTACCCCACCCTCTCACTAAGCCTCCAGATCCCCCAGCCTCTCCGGCCTCTCCCTCTGCACCCTAAATGCAGCAAGAGAGTGCATTCACCACATGATTCAAATCTAAGATCCCCCCTCCAAAAAGACTGCTGAATGTTGGCCAGCTCTCCTTCACCCTCGGGCCGCTGCCCTTTTCATTTATGAGACTGTTAGGAGACTAATGAACTCCAGCTGTGGTTTTACAACCTGGAAACTTCTCTCTCAGAAACTCATCAGAATTGCCCCCACCAACCCATTTCTCACGAGCTGCTGAATAACAGATGGCAAGGGTGTGATTCTTTTCCCTCACTCTCTCCGCTCGTGACCTACAAAATTCAGGGCCTACTGAGTGCTGGGCCCAGAACCACCCATTTCTCTGAGAAATGTTAAATCTGGCCATTCTGCCACCTCATAAATAAACTTTGGTACTACCTTGTTTTAGTGTGTTTAGGCTGCTGTAACAAAAATACAGTAGATTGGGTGGCTTGAACAACAGGAATTTTTTTCTCATGCTTCTAGAGGCTGAGAAGTCCAAGATCGAGGCAACAGCAGATGTAATGTCTGGTGAGGGCCCTCTTCCTGGCTTGTAGATGACTGTCTTCTCCCTGGGTCCTCCCGTGACAGAAGGGGGGGGTCTCTGATAAGGACATTGATTTCATTCATGAGGGCTCTGCCTGTGTGACCTTATCCCTTCCCAAAGGTCTCATCTCACAATAACCTCACCTTGGGGGTTACTGTTTGAACAGGATTTGGCGGGTGCAGGGGGGGGCGTCAGGGTGCAAACATTCCATCTATTACATACCTTACACATACTTTTTCAAAATTCTGTGATAAATTGTATAGTGATTTCTAATTTCCAACCAGTTTTGACATCTGCTAACTCATTTCACACTTACAGCCTCTTTGTGAGATCAGTCAAGTAAGTCAAACTGGCCCCATTTTTAAAATGCAGAGACAGAGTAAATCTCATGTCTGTCTCTAGGTCTCAGAGTCACACGACTAGTAAGTGGAAATTAGATTATAAATCTTAAAACCCCATTTCCTCTGCCAATTGTTTTTCTTCCCCTTTTTGCTGTTGTTTGTTTTCATTTTAATGGGCATCTTTTGATATAAAAGCCAATGGTATTGTGGTAGGCAGATATTTCCAGCCTGGTAACTTAGGGACTTGGGAAGGATAGAAATAAAAAACCACATCTGAGATGTAGAGGGGAGAGAGGAACGAGGAAAACTGGGACCTGTAGTTGTTAATGAGCTGTCCAACTTGATTTTACGGCCTTGTGACTTTTTGATGTTGTAGCAATAAACTTTCTTGCTTATATCATGGCAAATTTTATGTCTCTCAAACTAATTAGATTCTATTAGTACCTGCTCTTCACAAATTGAACTCAAATCCATTCCCTGGTTGGCCATAGTGTTGCTTGAAAATAATTCTTAGGTGCTTAGAGGACAGGTCACCACCTGCCTGACAGGAAACCTTTGAGATTTGTCCTTCTCCAAGGAGGGCAGTGTCTGTTCTATGCCCAGACACACCGACGTGTGAGGATGGCCTCAGGCCGAGTGAGTCCTTTTCGTCAAATGCAGTGACTATATCCTGGACCTACTGTTTGTGTCCAAGGAGGCTCACCTTCCCGTTGCCTATGTGGGAACAGTGACGTGTCCTGGGATTGTGAACCCCCTGCAGGGCATTAATTCCAGGGAAGCCATAAGAGTCTGCTGACTGGGTGACCCCTACCCCCACCCCCAATAGCTCCCAGTGTAGCTGCCTTCCTTCGGGGCCACAGCTTAAAGAGGGGGTAGGAAGTCAAGAAAAAACAGTGATGGAGGAGAGAAGTAAATCAAGGGGAGAAAAGAGCAAGCAAACAAGGTTCTTCACTCCATCTTCCTTTGCCTCAGAAAAAAATTCCCTTCCCACTGACTTAGCTGTTGGCCCTGTAGCTTGCCCCCTGCTGTGTGAGGGAGCTGGGGAACTTTGCCTGACCGGCTCTTCAGTACTATTAAGTTTCAGTATCACACTTCCAGAAATTTGAGTACTGTCAAGAATCCTGTAATCCCCTGCCTAGGCATTTTCAGATCTTAGACGACATTTCAGTTTGTACTGAAAACACATTACAATGATAGTAGCAGCAAAAGTGAAAACTGTTAATTATCTTCTGTGGTCCCAGATAGTAAGAAAGTTTCAGTAGCATATCAGACACATAAAACGTAACGATACTTTATTTGTGTATGGAGGATGACTTAAAAGCATAGAAGAACTCTTTCTGCACGTGGCAGAAGGTGGCTTCCCCACAGCTTCCAATTTTGCTTCTTCTACTTAGGTGACCTGGCCTGAGGCGTAGGGCAAGAGGTCAGCTCTCAGAGAAAGGGAGGGAAAGGGCAGGGGAGGGCAGCTACCTCGAAGGTGTCTGCTAAAGATGCAGTGGAGTAATTTCAACTGGATAAGTATATGTTGAATTTATTGTGCTCTCATTGTCAAATGCAGTGAATATATCCTGGACCTCCTGGAAAGTGGAAGAGAGAAGTTTCTAGTATTCGCACACCATAAGGTAGTCCTGAGTGCAATTACAAGAGAGCTTGAGAAAAAGGTAAGCTCCCTTCAAAATTCAACACAGGGTGCTCCTTTCGTGTGTTGGCTGCTGAGTGGATCTGAGCAGGTTGAGGGCAGATCTGAACCAAAGAAGTGAGATGATGTTTCCAGAAACATTGCTGAAGACTTTCTGAAGCATCCTTGCTTGTAGAACCACAGTGGGGTCAAAATACTTCCCAGCAGTGTCCTTTAACTTCTTCCCTGCTCCCTGCAGCTACCCCTGGAGCCTTGCTTTGAGAACAAGGATCCACTGTGAACAATGGATCTTTCATGACTCTGTAAATAATTACAAGACTGTCAAGAAAGGAGGTAGCAGAAATTCTCTTGTGTGGAAACAAGTATTTATATGAATATCCTCTTCCTTTTGTTCTTCCTTGTTACCGTCAAAGTGGCTTTATTAATCGTACATGGCAACATGCAACTTCAGTCGAGTTTGTGGCCCTTATTACATTGAATGAAAAATATCCAGAAAGATTTCCAAGGATGTTCATTAAAACTAAACACATCAAATTAAGAAACAAAACTTACAAAGTTGTAACATTTCACATGGAAGTGCTGCCCAATCTTCACCAGCTTCTGCATATAGAATTAAATCAGAACAGCTAAACACATTGTATTTTCACCTCCCTTTTCATTTTTGGTTAAATTTAGGACCATAAATTGCTTTTTGAATTCCTTCATCTTTATTACATTTTATGTAATGTTTCTTTTCTTTTCCTTTTTTTAAGAGAGTGTGTGCACGCACATGCGTGCGCAGTAGGGGAGGGGCAGAGGGAGAGAGAGAATCTGAGCGCCGGGCCCAAGGCAGGGCTCGATCCCATGACCCTGAGGTCATGACCCAAGCCAAAATCAAGCACTGGTAGCTCAACTGGCTGAGCCACCCAGGCGCCCTTGTAATGTTTCAAACATGGAGAGGAGTACAGAGAAACATAAAGCAGCCACTTGTGTGTCTGCCACCCGGATTTAATAAATTGTTTTGTTATATTTATTTCAAAGTGTGTATTTTAAGTAATAACATACTTAGGCCCCTCAGCAGCCCTCTAATTCATTCTCTGTCCTCCTCCCTGGATGTAAGCACTGTCCCCAGTCCTTCCCTCCATGTTGTCATACTTTACTCCAAAGTATATATAGTCTCCTCTGTATGTATTTTTTAACATACATAAATGGCAGCATAATGTGAGTATCCTGAAATTTGCCTTTTCGCTCAATGTTATTTTTGAAATTTTTCCATGTAGTATTATAGCTATAGCTCATTCACCATAAATGCAGAATAGTATCTCTCTGGGTGACTGTAGCACAGTTTATTCATTCTCCTGGTGAGAGACATGGAATTTTATTTACAGTTTTTGCTATTATATGAATACTTTGACATGCATGTGTACGTACATGTAGGCATGTCCATGCATGATCTTGTATAACCATTGGATAGGCTCGTCTTCAACTCTACTAGGTATTGTCACATTTCTCCCCCAGGTGGTAATTCACATTTATAATTGCACCAACAGCATTTGGAAATTCCTACTGTTTTGAGTGCTCACTAACACTTCGTATTATCAGACTTTTTACTTGTGCCACTCCAATGAAATGAAATCTCGGCTCTTTCTTATGTTAATTTGCATTTCCCTGACTACTACTAACAGTTGTATCCTTTTATGTGTTTACTGGTGATTTCAGGCTCTCTTCTGTAGATACTCTGCCTGTTTTACTGTTAGATGGTTTGTCTTTCTCTTACTGATTTGGAAATATTCTTTATAAATTCTGGATATTTATCAGATAACATTTTTTTCTTTTCATTTTGTTGAAGTTTTATTGAGCAGAGTGTTTAATTTTTACTTTAGTTGTTATAACTGAAATACATTTCAAGTTTATTAGTTTTTTCTATATGGTTTTTAATTTTTATGAATGATTTAAGAAATCTTTCCCTACTTAAGGTCATAAAGATTTTCTCCAGTGATTTTTTTTTTCCTGAGAATTTTAGAGGTGGTTCATTAATCCACCTGGGCTTGAATTTTGTATATGATGTGATGCAGGAAGCCAGCCAAAGGAATTAAAATCTATGATCCCTGGATAGGAAAAATCAGAGCTGTCACTATATTCAAGCAACTCAAGACAGTTAATTGGAAAACTGTCAGAATGCGTAAGAGTTTAACAGGGTGCCTAGATTCCAAATAAATATACTAAAATAAATTGCTTTTTTTATATACCAGCTATAACTAATAAGTAAATACAATGGAAAAAAGATCAAATTCGGAGCAACAAAAATGTATAAAGTACCTAATAGTAACCTCACCAAGAAGAGTGTAGAAACCAATGAAGAACTGGAGAGACTTGGGCCATGCTTCAGTGTAAACACTGTAAAAATACTGGTCCTTCCCACATGAATTCGTAGGCTTGACTCAATCCCAATAAAAATTCCAATTGGTTATTTTAAGGGAACCTTATATTATTATGCTAAAGGAGTTTCAAAAAATAAGCAGGAGAGATATCTAAGACAACTTTGAAAAAGAAGACCAATGTTGATAGATTTGTGCCTCCAGATATTAAAATCTGTTATAAAACTCAGCCAGGCTAGTCCAAGAACTGGTGGTCAGATGGTTGGAATAGAATGGATAGCCCTCTTTAGTATTAATAACTCTTTAGTTGAATGGCCCTTTAGTATAAAAAGACAATGTATAATCAAGGAGTCATCAAAAATTAGGCTTAATTTATTCAACAAAAAAAGTTTGGGTGATTGACTAAGTAATTGGGTAGAATACTTAAATGAAACTCAACTTCACTGTTTATTAAATTTCAGACAAATCAAAGCTCATTAAAACCATAAAGCATTAGAAGAAACTACAGATGAATATATAGCTGATCGCTGGATGGGGAATGACTTTCTAAACATAAAAACAATGAGGGGCGCCTTGGTGGCTCAGACAGTTAAGTGTCTGCCTTCGGCTCAGGTCATGATCCCAAGGTTCTGGGATCGAGCCCCACATTGGGCTCCCTGCTCAGCGGGGAGTCTGATTCTCCCTCTCCTTCTGACCTGCCCCCTTGCTTATACTCTCTCTCTGTCAAATAAATAAAATCTTTAAATAAATAAATCAATAAATAAACAAACATAAAAACAATGAAAGAAACCACAAAGGAAAAAAATTGATTTAAATTACCTAAAACTATGGATCTGTTCTGTCACAAACACACATTGGCTAGACCATGGGGGTTTTTTATACATTTGGTACCTTTTCACAGGGCAATTTGGCAGTAACTTAATGCACACTCAACTTTTTCCAAGCTTGTCTTCTAGGAATTTATCCTAAGGAAATAATGAGACCAAACAAAGATTTATGTATAAGATTAGTGATATTATTATTTATAATATTGAATAATTAGAAACCTAAATGTTTGTCAGTAGGCATACTGTTAAATAGTAGTCTGTTTAACCATAAAACATAATAATGTAGATCCATGGTTCTTAACTTTGTGGAGATCACAGGACCCTTTAAGATATGAACCTAAGATATGAAAAAATGTGCAGCGCTTACTATTGATAATGGTGCAGTGAGCTGGACATGCTCATACATTACTTATTGGAAAGCAATTTGGTGATAATATCAGGATCCTTAAGTCTTTGCCTCTTGCCAAAGTATTTTGATTTTTAGTAGTATAGTCTAAGGAAATAACCAAATATGGGCAAAGAACCATGAACAGGTTTATTTTAACCCATCCTTTAAAATTTTTTTTATTCTAATAGTTTTATAGAGATCTAATTGCCGTGCAATAACCTGCACCTAGGTGTACAGTTTGATAAGAATTAAGACAGTGAAGGGGCACCTGGGTGGCTCAGTTGGTTAAGCATCGACTCTTGATGTCAGCTCAGATCTTGATCTCAGGCTTGTGAGTTCAAGCCCATAGTGAATGTGTCTGTTGGCCCCAGGAGTTTCCTTGTGCTCTTTGTAATCCCTCCTGTTTTTCCCTGCCCTCCCATCTCCAGGCCACCACAGATCTGCTCTCTGTCCCTCTAAATTAATTTGCATTTTTAGGGCTTTATATAAATGTGGAATGATTCAGTGTGTACTCTTTTTTGAATTTGATTTCTCTCAGCATATTTTGAGACTCATCTGTTATTGCACGTGTCATCTGTTCATTCCTTCTTTTTGCTGAGTAATATTCTGTTGTATGTATATACCATGATTTTTATCCATTCACCTGTTGGTGGATGTTCGCCAACCCATCTTTTTTAGTGAAAATGAAGAATCCCCCAGGGGCGCCTGGGTGGCTCAGTCGGTTAAGCGTCCAACTCTTGGTTTCTGCTCAGATCATGATCTCAGGGTTGTTAGATGGAGCACCGAGTCAGGCTCTGTGCTCGGCAGGGAGTCTGCTTGAGATTCTCTCCCTCTGCCGCTCCCCCTACTCATATTCTCTCTGTCTCTCTCAAATAAATAAATCTTTATTTTTTTTTTAAAGATTTTATTTATTTATTTGACAGAGAGAGAGATGGAACACAAGTGGGGGAGAGGGAGAAGCAGGCCCCCTGCTGAGCAGGGAGCCTGATGTGGGGCTCGATCCCAGGACCCCAGGATCATGACCTGAGCCGAAGGCAGACGCTCAACGACTGAGCCACCCAGGCGCCCCAATAAATAAATCTTTAAAAAACAAAAAGAATCTCCCAAATATGAAGAAATACACGAATGGATAAATTATACTGTTGCCACATAACAAAATATTATATGGACATTAAAAATCATGTTTTAGAAAACTAATAATTTAGTTTATTTTCAATATAATGTTTATTGGAGAAAAGCAGGATATAAAACTTTGTGTTTAAAAGCTTATCATATACATTGAGAAGAGAGTGCCTGGCAAAAATAGATTGGTAATAGGAGCACCTGGGCGGCTCATTCAGTTAAGCATCTGCCTTCGGCTCAGGTCATGATCCCAGGGTCCTGGGATTGAGCCCCACGTGCGGGGTCTCTGCTGAGCAGGGATCCTGCTTCTCCCTCTCCCTTTGCCTGATGCTCCCCCTGCTTGTGCCTTCTCTTTCTTTCTGTCAAATAAATTAAATCTTTAAGAAAAAATAGATTGGGGGGCACCTGGGTGGCTCAGTTGTTACACGTCTGCCATCGGCTCAGGTCATGATCCCAGGGTCCTGGGATCGAGCCCCACTTTGGGCTCCCTGCTCGGCAGGAAGCCTGCTTCTCCCTCTCCCACTCCCCCTGCTTGTGTTCCCTCTCTCTCTGTCAAATAAATAAATAAAATCTTAAAAAAAAAGAAAAAATAGATTGGTAGTAGTCCTGATATTTGTATTTCCTTTGTAATGTTTGTCTTTATCATTAGAAAAAAAAAATGGATAAATCCCCCCTAAAAGAAGATAAAATTCAACTGGACATGCAAGGAGCATGTGACCCAGCAGCCAACTCCTGGGCATTCATCTCAGATTAGTGAAAACTTGTGTTTACATGGAAACTTGTATACAGATGTTCATGGCAGCTTGATTTGTAGTAGCCCCAAACGAGCCAGCCCACATGTCCGTCCAGAGGTGAAGGGCCACACTGTGGTATGGCCACACCACGGAATATTACTCAGGAGTAAGAAAGGAAGGAGCTACCACTGCACGCAGCGCCCTGGTTAGATCTCCAGGGAATGATGCCGGGTGAAAAACAGCCCGTCCCAAAAGGTTGCCCACTATATGACTCCATTGATAAAACATTCCTGAAGTGAAAGGCACCTGGGAATGGGGCAGGGAGCAGGAGGGAGGTGGGTGTGGTTGTAAAAGGGCCATAGAAGGATCCTTGTGGTGTTAGAACTGTTCAGTGTCTCTTTTTTTCTTTGTTTTTTTCTTTTTTTTTTTTAAGTAAGCTCTGTGCCCACATGGGACTTGAACTCACAACCCCGAGATCAGGAGTCTCATGCTTTACCCACTGAGCCAGCCAGGTGCCCCATAACTGTTCAGTGTCTTGACTGTGAAGGCAGATACGTGAAAAGCCACAGGAATGATACCATTGTGTAGGATATACACATACGAGTTTAAGTAAAACAGGACACTGAGTAAGATCAGTACATCGTATCAAAGTCAATATCCTGGTTATGATACACTATAACAAAATATTACCCCTGGGAGAAAGTGGGCCAGATGTGCAAGGAATCCCTGTGTTTTTGCTTAAACTAAAGGGAATCTACAGTTCTCTCGGCACAAATGTCAATTTGAAATGAAAAGACCAGCAGCTCCGAAAGCAGTGTCAAGTGAAGACTATGCGCTGGCGGGTCTGAGCCAGCATGGCAGCGTGGCTGTGTCCTTGGGGCCACGGCCGCTGAGCCCCGGGCCCCCGTGCATCCCACCTTGCCTCCCCTCTTGTCCCCTCAGCACGTGCCGTACATCCGCATCGACGGCTCCACCTCGTCGGCAGACCGGGAGGACCTCTGCCAGCAGTTCTGTCTGTTCGAGAAGCACGCCGTGGCCGTGCTGTCCATCACCGCTGCCAACATGGGCCTCACCTTCTCCTCGGCTGACCTGGTGGTGTTTGCTGAGCTGTTCTGGAATCCAGGGGTAAGGGACACAGGAGACAGGAGCAAGGGTCAGTCTGGGCAGACAGGGTTGCCGGGAGCTGTCCCTAGCACCAGTTTTTTGGGGTTTTTTTGTTTTTTTTATGTTATGTTAGTCACCATACAGTACATCATTAGTTTTTGATGTGATCCACGATCCATTGTTTTCATATAACACCCAGTGCTCCATGCAGTACGTGCCCTCCTTAATACCCATCACCGGGCTAACCCCTCCCCCCTTCCCTCTCCCCTCTAAAACCCTCAGTTTGTTTCTCAGAGTCCATAGTCTCTCATGGTTCATCTCTCCTTCCAGTTCCCCCGCTTCATTTTCCCTTCCTTCTCCTAATGTTCTCCATGCTATTCCTTATGTTCCACAAATAAGTGAAACCATATGATAATTGACTTTCTCTGCTTGACTTATTTCACTTAGCATAATCGCCTCCAGTCCCTTCCATGTTGATGTAAAAGTTGGGTATTCATCCTTTCTGATGGCTGGGTAATATTCCATTGTATATACGGATTACATCTTCTTCATCCATTCATCTGTTGAAGGGCATCTCGGCTCTTTCCACAGTTTGGCTATTGTGGACATTACTGCTATGAACATTGGGGTGCATATGGCCCTTCTTTTCACTACATCTGTGTCTTTGGGGTAAATACCCAGTAGTGCAATTGCTGGGTCATAGGGTAGCTCTATTTTTAATTTTCTGAGGAACCACCACACTGTTTTCCAAAGTGGCTGTACCAACTTGCATTCCCACCAACAGTGTAAGAGGGTTCCCCTTTCTCCACAACCTCTCCAACATTTGTTGTTTCTTACCTTGTCAATTTTTGCCATTCTAACTGGTGTAGGGTGGTATCTCATTGTGGCTGGTATCCAGGATCTATAAAGAACTTCTCAAACTCAACACCCAAAAAACAAATAATCAAGTCAAAAAATGGGCAGAAGACATGAACAGACACTTCTCTGAAGAAGACATACAAATGGCTCACAGACACATGAAAAAATGTTCATCATCATTAGCCATCAGGGAAATTCAAATTAAACCACATTGAGATACCACCTAGCACCAGTTTTGTCTTCCATCCGTTTTTGTTAGGCCTCAGAAACATGTTTGTACTTCCCACGTGTCAGTCTTCAAAGAAGTGAAGGCTCGCACGTCCGTCGGCTAGTTATTAGATCTTCATGGCAGTCTCCTCTAAGTAGTAGGATTATCGACTCCACTTTCCCGAAGGGAATGTTGAAGTGTGGGAAGGCCAGGAGGAATCTTAGGAGTCCTCCCTCTGTGAGGAGTTGGCACAGATAGCTCAAGGCCCCAGCTGTCCCTGGAGGGGAGCGTGTGGCCCCAGCAGCCACGGCCTAGGCCTCTGGCCTTCCAGTCTGTGCCCCTAGTATTGACCATTGCTGGGAGCTCTTTACCGATGCGGCCACCACAGGCGACCGCGGTGGGTGCCCCACTGGCCTCATCTCGTGAGCGAAGAGCTGTGACAGCAGATATGTGTCATTGGCCACACAGGGCACTGCTTCGTGATGGGTGGACTTCAAGGCTGAAGGCATAGATAATAGAAACAATGCTCTTGGGCTCTATTATTTATTATAGGGCTTACCACCATATTAAAGGATCACCCAGCCCCTGATCATATATGGCCTCTCCCTCGGTGGCGATATGTTTATTTAGAAGGTCACAGTTTCTTTCCCGGTGAGAAGCATGGCAGCGTGCTGGGCTTCCTTCGTCTGCCCTCAGCACAGCCTCCTAGCAGAGTCCGTGCTTGCTGTTCGTTCCTCCTGGCACCTAGTGCTGTGCCCACAACTGGCCAGCTGCAGAGTCTAGCTCCCCCAGAACTTGGCTTGTTTTGGTTTGGTTCTCTCTTGTGTTAGGTGGCAGCTTGCTTGAAGGCAGAGGCTGCAGAGCCTGCAGACTTGGGTCGTGGAGTGCAGTCCTTGGAGGAGAGAGGGTGTGGTGGGCTCAGGGGCAGGGGGCTGCATGCTGTGGTGGACGGAGCCCCTTCAGGCCTCAGCCTGCATGCATCCTGATCCCCGGACCTCACAGGTGCTGCTCCAGGCTGAGGACCGGGTGCACCGAATTGGACAGTCGAGCTCCGTGAGCATCCACTACCTCGTGGCGAGAGGCACAGCTGACGACTACCTCTGGTATGGCTGGCCACGGGGCTTGAGCGAGGGTTGAACGCCAGTGATGTGTTTCCTTCGCTCCCTAAGCACTTCTGCTCTTGCTGATGTCTTCAGGGACCCATGCAGAAGACCCAGGTGTCATGCCCTCCCACTTCCACCGTGAGCATGCCGGGACTCCTTCACAGTATTCACTCACAGCTTGCTGGGTGCATGAGGACTAAGGGGCTGTGGCCTGAGACAAGGGAGGGGGGAGCTGATCATGAGGAAGCGTAGGTGCAGGTTTGCTCGTAAGACACTCTGTCCCAGCCGTGAAGGCACTGCTGAGACACAGTGATGTCCCCCTCTGCCCCTTTATGTCATGTATTGGTATAGTAAGCCCGCCCTATAGTACTGCTGCTGACCTTTCGGAGAAAGTGGGCTCACTGTGTAGTGCTTCCTTAGCAGAGCTGGGGTAAAATGTTCAACCCCGGGGTTCATGTCTGGTACCTAAGCAAAAAAAATCTCCAAATGCTCCTTCTCAATCCCATTTACCCCTTCCTGATACTAAGTTTCTTGATTATCTGTTTCCACTACTCGTCTCTGTTTCCAGCTTTATGACTAAGGGGTCTTACCTTTGCCATGTGTGTTGGTTGTCCCTCCTCCCGCATCTTTGGATTTGTGGGTTTGTTCACTGGGCAGCTCATAACAGCACGAGGTTCAGAATTTTGTTGTAGTGAGACATTTATTTCCTCTATATCTTCCAGTGGAAAGGATTTTGAACCTAATTAACTCGAACCCTAAATTGGTTTGCAGCTGAGAGGAGGCAAATATTTGAGGTTGGGCATTGGCGCCTTGAGAGCGGCAAAGAAGTGAAACAGCATACTCAGTCCCATAGAAACAAGGAGGGTGATCTCTTTTTAATCAGCTCGCTGGTTCTGCGCAGCTTGTGTTCACCGCAGCTCATTTCTCCCCAACAGGCCCCTAATTCAAGAGAAGATTAAAGTTCTGGGTGAGGCCGGACTTTCTGAGACCAATTTTTCAGAAATGACAGAAGCTACTAATTACTTGTACAAGGTAACACTAGCAAATGTCTCCTTGCTACTGGGGTGGGGGGAGGCATTAAGTTGCTCAGCCCTTGGGTCCTGAGAGAGAAGGTGTGGATCACTCCTGCGGATTTCACCCAGCCTCATGCAGAAAAATGGCTTTACCGTAGCTCGTCTGGAAACCAAAGTGTCTTCTCCTCATGGAACTGCCCAGAATCAGAGTCTGAGTGAAATCAGCAAAATCCTCGAGTGACAGGAAGACTAGAGAGTCTGAGGGTTTGAACTTTCATTTACATTGAGGTAGCAACTAAATGCTTCCTTCCAAATGTAATTATTGAGATAAATAAGACTCAGAAGTCGTATTTTTATTTTTAAGTTCTTTTTTTTTTTTTTCTAAAGATTTTATTTATTTATTTGAGAGAGAGAATGAGATAGATCATGAGGGTCAGAGGGAGAAGCAGACTCCCTGCTGAGCAGGGAGCCTGATGTGGGACTCGATCCCGGGACTCCAGGATCATGACCTGAGCCAAAGGCAGTCGCTTAACCAACTGAGCCACCCAGACGCCCCTTTAAGTTCTTATTTAAGTAACTTCTACACCCAATGTGGGGCTTGAACTCATGACCCCCAGATCAAAAGTTGCATGCTCCTCCAGCTGAGCCAGGCACCCCCAGAGATCATATTTTTTAATGTAGAGTATAGATTATCCTCATAGATGTAAACAATTAATAAGCTAATTTTGAAACAACCTTATTTTTAAGCTTTTTAAAGAACTCTCTAATTCAGTTGAATGATAAATATTTTCACAGAGCCTTGGTTATTATATGCCCTTTGAAAAGAAGGAACCTTATTTTTAAAGGATTCTCAACCTTCTTGAACTCAATAATGAGTTCATTTAGAACTCATTTATTTATACTGCCTTTGCCCTCACTCTGAATTAGTTGAGAATTTCTGCCTAAAGTACAAGATAATATAAATGCCGTTTATCAATACTTATTTTGATTAATAATTGTATCTATTTTTTTAATTAAAATGGAGCTGAAAATTTCATCAACTACTAGAAAAAGAAAATGTTGCCTCCTAGGAGGAGATTAAAGCAAAAGCAGTTACATCTCGCTAAGACATCCTGCTTTCCCAGAGGGGAAGTGAAATACTAATCAGATCTTGGACCTTGCTTCCATTAATCAGGCATGCTCTGAGTTAGAGCATAGTATTGCCACCACCATAATCAAATGCAGGTTAACAGTTATTTTACTTGGAACAGGCTGCCTTATGGGGTGGCATTCCTTAACCTTGCGGTTGTTCAGACAGAGGCTGACGAGGATATTTCTAGAGGAGGATGTGTGGATCACGTGAGGCTGACCTTAATGACCCTTTAATATCACTCCTGGTTGGGAAGGCTGGGATCCTGAAAGGCCAGGGAATGTCAGGTGCAGGTACATTAGGCAATCTGGAGTTCTCACATGACTATTCCCATGGTCAGTTTTCAGTGGCGTCCCATCACCAATGCGGGGGGCTTCTGTTAAGGAGCAGTGGGGAAATAGAAACCAGCTGGGTTGAGACCTGATCATAAAGGGACTGAAAAGCCAGGGAAGCTACTTCAGCACTGATGAGGTAGACAGAGTGGGGGAGCCCCAGGACATGATGAGAAAATCCTGTTAAAGAAAAATGGGGGGCAGAAATCGGCCCGGCAGAGACCTGCCAGGGATTGAAACGGGGAGAGGCCTGCAGTGGGAAGCACAGGTGCGCCACTGCAGATCCGTGCAGGTACCGAGTGCTGCGGCTCGGGTGAGAGTGCCTGTGGAACTTCGCAGGGGAACAGCCTGGAGAGGCAGACTTGCTGCCAGTCTGTGTGAGATTGGGGGCAGTCAGGACGCCTTGGTGATCGCAAGCCAGGGAGACCGGAAGCATGTTGGTAGACCATCAGAACTAGGCTTTTTGGAGAGAGTTGCTGGTTTGAGGATGTAGGATTGAGAGGAGAGATGGCTTGCATTTTTTTTTTTTTTTAAAGATTTTATTTATTTGAGAGAGAGAGAACACATGAGAGGGGATAGGGTCAGAGGACGAAGCAGACTCCCTGCTGAGCAGGGAGCCCGATGCGGGACTCAATCCAGGGACTCGATCCAGGGACTCCAGGATCATGACCTGAGCCGAAGGCAGTCGCTTAACCAACTGAGCCACCCAGGCGCCCGGCTTGCATTTTTAAACAGCGTTAGTTTAACGGAACCGGGATGTCAGTGGAGATGTTGAAAGCGCACCTGGATTGAAAGACGCTCAGGGTTGGGAATTCACACTTGGGAGAGATCAGCAAAGGGGTGATAGCAAGCGCATTGCGTGCTATGGTTGTAACTGCTGGGCATGATTTTAACACTGCGCCAGGGCCGTCAATGCACAGAGGTAGCTGGTGGGCCTTTTGATCATTGGCAGATTTCAGATAGAAACAAGTATGGGAATCTAGTTCTCCGTATGTCAAGTACAGCTATGTTGTATCAACCACTCCGAAAATTAGGTGTAAGCAGTGGCTGAGTACACGGGTTTGGCAGTTGAATTGCAACTTAACTAAGCCCTCGGTGGAGAAGGGCTTTGCAGGAAGTGAGAGCTTGGGAGCTATTTCAATACCGATTTGGAAAGCTAGAAGGAAGAAGACATTTCCAACATAAATTATAGTTTGAGAGCATGTTCTTTATGGCTCTCACACCATTTCTAACTCCCCACCCCCCCCCCCTTTTCCTTTACTCACGAGCAGCAGAGCAGCAGAAAAGAAACGATGTCAGGCAGTAAGGCCGCCCTGGTCTACAGTGGCCGTCATGCGGCACCTGACGCCGTAAAGTGTTCGGCCCCCACCTCCGAGCCTCCTCCCCAGCCTCGGTGGCCCAGGGAGAGTCGGTGCTGGAGCCTGCACTCTGACTTCTTTGTTTTCTCTCTCTGATAAAGGACCCAAAGCAGCAGAAGATCTATGACCTCTTCCAGAAGTCCTTTGAGGAGGACGGAAGTGACATGGAGCTCCTGGAGGCCGCGGAATCCTTTGACCCCGGAAGTGCTTCTGGTGCACCTGGAAGCGATTCCCAGGACCTGGGCGACGCGGTGGACGAAATCACGTTGACGGGCAGCCCCGTGAAGAAAAGGAGATTTGAATTTTTTGATAATTTCGACAGCTTTACCTTTCCCCTATAAGAAGGGGGGGGCGGAAAGCATTTAAAAATCATGGAAATAAAACAAGGTGTTTGAAGCTTGTGCTCCTCTTGACGTCACAGCAGTGCTGCCATGTCTCCGGCCCGCGGGCTCGCAGGCCTCGGCGCAGCATTTCCTTTCTGGCCTTTCTGTGCGGGTCGCCTGGGGTCTTCACCTTAGCTTTTCCGGCTGAGAAACAGAGCGAGCAGATTGTAGTAATGATAACTCCTGTTCTTTAAGTAACGAGGTGCTTCCTGTGCAACCCCTGGAATTTGGGTTTTTAAAATGTATTGATTGAACAAGTATTTATAGAGCAGCTGATACGTGCCAGGCAGCGTTCTAGGTGCCGGCAGTAATTCAACAAGAGAGAGAAAGCCGGTGCCTTTGTAGAAGTTACATCACAGGAGAGATCATAGTTACACATCCTACGAAGAAAAGTAAAGTTAAGGAGGCAAGGGTTTAGAGCAGGAGGTGACAAGCCTTTTCTGTCAATAGTCAGACAGTAAATATATTTGGCTTTATGGGCCAGGTTGTCTCTGTTGGAATGACTCAACTCTGCTGCTATAGGACAAAAGCTACCCTAGGTAATCCAGAAACAAATGATTATGGCTCTTTTCCAATAAAACTCTGTTACGGACACTGAAATGCGAATCCGTACAATTTTCATGGCCACGAATTTTTCTTTTGATTTTTTTTCAACCATTAAAAAATGTAAAAACTGTGCTTAGTCCACGGGCCATACAAAAGCAGGCAGTGGGCAGGATTTGGCCCACAAAGCATAATTTGCTAACTCCTAGTTTAGAGCAGCCCCGTCCAACAGAAGTATAACACAAGCCACAGATGTGAACTCAATTTTCTAAAAGGGTATTTTAAAAAATAAAGAAGGATCAAATTAGTAATATTTTAACTCAGTGTCTTCAAAATGTCGGCTCAACATACAATCACTATTAAAAACTTACTGAGACACTTCTACGATTACATTCTTTTCTTTCATGCTATATACCCAGTGTGTATCTGTTGCTAACAGCACCTCCCAGAGTGGACTAGCCAGTGTCAAGTGCATGTTTAAGTGCACTTGTGGCTGGTGGCTCCTGTGTTGGCCAACACAGGTTTAGAGAGTGGTGAGGGGTGGGGGTATCGTGTGGCAGGATTAGAGGTGATGTCACTGAAGAGAAAGAGGCCAGATGAAATGGAGCCCCTAGGTCGTGTAAAGAATCAGATTTAATTTTGAACATGAAGCCACTGGGTTTTGAACAGGGATATGAGGCAGTCTGATTATATTTTTAAAAGATCCCTCCAGGGGTCCCTGGGTGGCTCAGTTGGTTAAGCGGCTGACTTGATTTTGGCTCAGGTCACAATCTCAGGGTCGTGAGATCGATCAAGCCCGTCGTCGGGCTCCACACTGGGCATGGAGTCTGCTTGAGATTCTCCCTCTCCCTCTGCCCCTCCCACCACTCATGCTCTCTCTCTAAAATAAAAAAAAAAACTTTAAAAAATAAATTAATTAAAAAATGAAAGATCCCTCCAATTTGTGTGTAGCAAATAGATCGGGAAGGATGGTCAGGGGAGCAGTTTTGAGAGGAGGCTAGTGAACTATTGCAGCTGACCACAGGGCAACGCTGAGGTGTGGCCCAGCTGAGCGGCAGTGTGAAGGAGGTAAGAAGTGCTTGGATTGGATATGTTGTGATTGTAGAGCTGAACGAATTTGAGATGCATTGACCGAGAGGCATTTGAGAAGGAGAAGTCAATACTTAGACCTAGGATCTGGCCTGAGCAAAGCTGTAGTGCCCTTGACTGAGATTAAAGGAAAAAAAAAAAAGATGAAGAAGTGTGGGTAGGTTGGGTGGCAGGGCAAAATCAAGGTTTTGGTTATGGACTTGTTGAGTTTGAGACGGAGACACCCCACCCAACTCCCCCTTCAAGGAGGGAAGCTTCCTGCCCAGCTCCAGGGAGCTCAACTAGCATATAGCCTCCACCGGGCCACAACTTCTAGTTGGTCTCAGTCCATGGAGAGCCACTTTGTCCGAAGTTACACCCTTCCTGGAGCAGCCTGCATAAGTGACTGAACAAGGGGGCCACAAAGGCCGGGCCACTTAGGCCTGATGTGGGACACCCCTGCCGGGCGGGTGGTATTCACTGCAGAGCTGCCCACTCCCCGCTGGGCCGTCTGAGGCTCTAGTTCACCTCCCTCTGCCTTCCCTGCTTCCTCGCCTTCCTTCACAGACACTGATCTCTGATAAACACATTGTACCACACACTCCCTGTGGTTCCAGGAAACCCAACCTGGGCATGATCCAAGGGCTAGGTTATGTAGGCTGTAGGATTTGGGTCTCCGGCAGGAGAAGGTCACACCTAGAGCTGTGACTTCTGCCCTCACCAGATATAAATGGTATTTATAGGCATGGGGCTGGATGAGATTGAGCAGGTAAGGTGACTTTGGAGAAAAAAAGCAGATCTAACTAACCCCAGAGCACACCAACAGTTAGGGCTGGGAAGAGAAAAAGGAGGCCAAACAGCAAAGAAAGAGAGGAAGAAAATCAAAATGGGTGTCGGGGAGGGGGATATTTAAAAAGAGTTTCAAAAAGGAAGGAGTTGGCTGCTTTAGTTGGTATTGTCGAAAGACAATGGACCAGGGTTAAGTAAAGGTTTAGAGTTAGTCCAATTTTCTTGGCAGCAGTGCAAGATGTCTAAGTTGCTCCAGCATGACTATATGTGTGCATTTGTTTGTTAGACTTGGATGGTTTTCACTCTCATACAGTTTACTAGGTGCCAGGCACCGGGCCAGACACTTTACATGTATTGACGCGGTGAGCCCCACTTCAGAAGAAGGTAGTTCGATTTTCATTGTGCAGATGCAGAAACCGAGCCAAGGGAGTCTCAGCGAGGAAGTGGCAGAGCAAGACTTACAGCTAGGCCACCCCCTCTAGAGCCGCCCACTCTAGGGTAGGTGCACACGTCCTACACCAGCAGGCTCGGGGCTGCTTTGGCGGGTCTATGAGCAGCTGATTGCGTGGCAGCGTTCCCGAGGGGCTCAGCCTCCCTGCAGGCTCCCAGCTAACTCTGTTCTAACTAGAACAAGACCCTGGAAGGCACCATTTTCTTGTGCCTTTCGGCCCCCTTTCCAGGGCTTCTAGACAGTTCCAACAGAGAGATCTTTGAGAACCACCCAACCCCCTTCACTGCTGCTCAAGGGCGGTCAGGCATACTGACATGTCAGCACGATCCGATCCAGACTGCAGGGCCATGTCCTGTGGGAGGCTTTGGCCTTGGGAAATAACTGGCTGACTTTCTCCCTTCCTCAGTCAAACCCGGCATTTGGTTACTGAGCTTCCTATTAATCACTGTATTGATCTACTGCTGTGAGCTTCTCTGCAGGGTCAGAGCTCTTCAGGAAATCCAGCCCGAACACCTGCCTCTGAGGGGCATGAGTTGCTTCTCCTGTCTTTCTGCAAAGGACTGTGGAGATTAACAGCTGAGTCTGCATTCCGCCGGTGTATCCTGCCATGCTCTGGTGCCAGATCTCCATAGATAATTGGGCCTTTGGTTTCCTCTAGCACCTCCTGAAATGAGAATGACCCAGTGTTACCAAAAAAAAAAAAAAAAAAAAAAAAAAAATCCAGAGTCAAAGGCCCGAGAGAGAATGCTTGTCTGGGCTCTCCTCTAGGCAACCGGAAGTGGTCTTATACTATCTTTTTCCTCCAGCTCTCTATTTTGTTAGCTGTACCAGTTTGTTTATAATACTGACTATGACTTGTTGGAAGCTTCCAGAGGACAAGTAATGGGTCTGTCTAAAGTTTACTCTAACTTTGTCCCAAACGGCCACTTAAAATAAATATTTGTCTAAGAGTAATTAAGAGCAACGGCTGCTGTGTCATCAAATAAATTGTCCTTAGTTCCCTCAGGAGTGGGTGCTCTGGAAAGCCAACTACATCACTTCATGGTTGCTGCCCTTGGAGTCCATAATCAATCTGCCACGGACACAGCCCCCAGTGTAGTTCTAGAAAAGGATACAGTTGATCGTGTGCGGGGTGGCCTGCTGAGTGATGGCCCAATGAGGACAGAATCTGTATGAAAAGAAAGGCTAAAATCCTACCTCAACATTGCTCACGAGGTTTTTGCAGTCTTGGTGGTTCATTGATGGAAACAACCAGTCACTTCAGAAAAGTCTATGGAATGAGTTAAGGCCCAGGATGCAGAAAGATTCTGGATCACAGTTAGATGCTGAGAGAGTTTCAGAAAGGAGCATTTCTTCCTCGCCTGCCCCAGAGCCTAGCCACAGCCTCTGCTCTCTGTCCTGACATCACACGGCTTGAGGAGCATTACGAAGCCCTCTTCTGTGAGTCTGTGGACGTCTCTGGAGACTCACCTGCTGCTCACTCAAAGATTGGATGCAGCTTTCTCAGGAGCCCTGCTGGAGTTTGGTCAAGTCCTTTAATGTCTCAGAGAATGAGATTATAGCATCTCATTCCTTACTTTTTTAAGAGCTCCTCCTTACTCTAGGGATGTGGTTAGTCTACAATGGGTATGCTCCAGAAATACAGTGAAAGGTGCCAGTGATTTTGAGACATATATATCCAGTGTTGCTTGGGAGAATCAGTGACCATTGTTAAATGAATAAATCTCTGCTTTATTCACCTTGGGGCCTGCCACAAGGTGTCAGATCAATGCCTGCCCTTGGGAGGGTTTGCCCTTGGTCCTTGCAACTTGGTGTGCATGTTTAAAACCGTATTCTTCTGGAGTCTTAGTAAATATGGCCTGTTGAGCCTCCATCTGAAGCCTGCAGTTAAACCTCAGTTTCAGCCGCTCTAGAGAAAGACTCGCCATCTCTGAGATGTCCTTGAGGTCCTCCAAAGCAAATTTTATTTGTACTACGAAGCCGGTAAATTCTAAGTTATACAATCCCAAATGTACCTCTAGAACTTGTTGAGAACCATCCAGCCATTTCTGTGTGATTCAGAAAAGACACTTGGATTTATTTATAGAGAGAAATGGCTTTGGATTTAAGGAAGGATTTCTGCACTTTTTCCATCTTTACTTCACAGTCAGTCCAGACGCATACCTGCCACCATCCACTGTGTTTTCTGGAAATGTCAGTTCTAATGAAGAAAATCTGGGCCTATCTCATCCCACTTCCTGTCCCTGCCATTAGTTGGCCCCTTACAGGGTTTTATGAAAGGCCCCCCAGGCCCACCAGAGCTGTCTCTGCCTACCCTCACCAGGGTCATTATCCCCTGAATGACCCTGGTTAATTTCTGCCTTTAGGGCTGCGATCAGGAAGACTCCTAGAGGGAGCAAGTCATCCCGTAAATCTTGATCCATTTGTACTAGAATTAATTGTGTCTTTTCCTTCTTGGCTTCCCACAAGCCTTTTTCTAGGTCAGAGGGAGAGCTAAGAAACCGAGCCGGAGGGGCCATCCCCTCACTGCTGGCTCTTGGGTTTTGCCTTGTCTATGCATTCTTATCTATTGGAATCTTAATACTTTTCTTTTCTTTTTTTTTTTTTTTAATTTTATTTATTTGAGAGAGAGAGAAAGAGAGTGCAAGAGCATGAGCAGGGGAGAGGGGCAGAGGGAGAAGCCGATTCCCCACTGAGCACGGAACCCCGGGATCCTGAGCCTCAGAAGGCAGACGCTTAACCAACTGAGCCACCCCAGAACCTTGGTGCTTTCTGAAGCTCTTTGTAGGTGAAATTTAAACTGCAAAAGGTATGAAAAGAAGTCCAACTTTATCACCTGCGCTATCCTCTCACTTCTTACCACGTGCAGGATTACAAGGTTTAAAAAAAATGGCATGGAAGCTTAAAGAGAATTTATTGGAGTACTCTCTCATACCTGCAATTTTGGTTTTGTCTTTTCCTGTGAGGTCCCAGTGAAGGAAATGGATTCCTAATCATAGCAGAAAACATCGAGAAGCCTGTGAGTCACAGTGTTTGGGATATTATGACAGCCAACAGCTATTTGGTTTTGCAACATCCTCTGCCCACATCCCCCCTACCAACCCATTCATCTGACTTATTGAGTGCCAGGCACTC